TACATCAAGGTGTATATGCCGTGCCTCCAAGCTTTCTTATTCGTTTTGCTAATAAACGTTCTATGTTTCTTATTTATTTGGTTCCACAGTGTTTGCTGATTTTCAGTTTTATATACCTATTTAAACTTTGTGTAGCCTAAGTAATTTGTTATTTTATTAGGTATAGGCCTATATGGTGTATTTTTATACGTTTTGTTAATAAAAGTTCTGAGTTTGACGTTGTTGTTGCTTGAATTGAATCAACGCTGAATTGCCCCCAATTTGAAAGTGAAAGTAAAATGCGCACAGCGCTTTTTCAAGCTATTTGAAAGCCAAGAAATCCAAGGAAAAGGGGAAAAACTCAAACGAACAATTGCTTGACGCCGAATTGCGGCAGTTGCCACTAATTTGAAAGTGAAAGTAAAATTCGAACGGCACTTTTACAAGCCATTTGAAAGCGAAGAAGAGAGGGAAACTCAAACGAACTAACCCCCCACCCCCACCCCAACGGTGATACCGGTATTACCGGTGTTGTCACTCGTCGATTAACCAGTGGGAAAATTTCCTCACCGTCACAACCCTACTTTGTAACCTTCCTTGGAAGTCTCGTCTATTCGAATTAATATACATTAATTAAATTAATATTTAATGAGTTTAATACAAGTTAAACTGACAGCATTTGTGGTATAGTGTTATAATAACCACAAAAAAATACTTTTGACTCGTTCCTTGTTTCAAGGTTACAGTGAAACACTTACAATGGTAATGTGTAGGACCCAGTTTTGGAGGATTTTAATGCAGAAATAGGAAGCCTAGAATTTTATAAAGCACTGTTTCCCCTGAAATTTGAGTACACAATAATAATAGTAATATATTATTATTATTTCTATCATCAATTTTCAAAATATCTTTATTATTATTAAAAAAAAGAAATTTAACCAATGCAATACTATTGTACTGTAAAATAAAAAAGTAGTATTTAATAATAATAATTCATTTTACAGAACAACAGTAAAATGACACTAATATTTATGTCTGTCTTGATTTCTTTGCTTCCAAAAGTGAAATCACAGAACTTTTATTTTGGCATGAAACTGAAAGGAGACCTCAAAACTTCTCTTTGTGCAGCTCTGTCAGAATGTGTTAAATATATTTGAAAACAGCATTTTTTTTTAGATTTTCACAATTCACGTGGATCATACTTTTCAGGTTGGGAAATACGGAAACTACAAAAAATACAACTTATGCTTTATTTTAGCAGTAAAGCTGTTTAAATCATAATTTTTTACAGTCGTTTTAGGGTTTTAGGGTTCATGGGATTCCGTTGTCATTACAAAAAATGTATAAAACTGGACGCAACTTATAACAGAATTTTTTTTTTTTTCTAAAATCATGTTAACACTTACAATGTTTACATCTTGTGGCTGTGTGATTGAAACAGTGAGTATTTTAATTTTTACAGATTGGCCCAATTCACTTTCATTGTGTCTGCTTCACTGTAACTCTTTTTTTTTTTTTTAAGAAATGGAGAGACAAATGCTGTCGACTGAGCTTAACTTGGGAAATATTCCTTTAATTGCGCACGTCAGGGAATATCTTACGGCAGCGGAGTCTTCCTCCACAGCTCTTTGGCTTTGAGCGTCTGATAGACGGTTTTCTGTCGTCCGTCAGCGCCGTTCTCTCCCCTTCTGCTGCTCTGCATCACACGCGAGTATTCCATCTTCTCGTCCCACGTCCCAGACAGAACATAGTGCGCTTTCCCATCTTTATCCGTCACCACCCCCGTGACCTAGAGAGAGGCATTGCACAAGAAGGAAGTGAAAGCAGACATAAATTCCAGAACGGGCAAAAAGAACACGAAAAGTTGCAAAGGGTGATTGATGAAAGGGGAAAAAACTGACATGGAAAGAAGTCAGTGGAACAGCTGCTGACTCACCTTTCTGGCCACGTCTCTGGAGAAGTAGCTGTACGGTGCGAATTTGAGATGACAGCGGTCGCCTGTTTTGTGGTTCACAACGTCTATTTCTCCTGACTGAATCCAGAGAGAAAGAGAGAGACACACAATTATCACTTATGAATTAAATTAAATGCCACACTATAGGTATTGCAATTTAAGGGCTACATTTGTATAATGCAAATGCAAAACCACCAGTAACGCTAATGATTTTGGGGAAAAATTAAATGCACAAAAAAAACTGGGTGCCAATTTTATTATATACATAATATCTTTTAAATTACATAAGCAAGTTCATAAGAAAGTGACATGTACCAAAAATTGCTGTAATGAAGTGAGCACATTTTATACACAATATTTACAGAAATTACTGTAGCATTATCTGCTGACAAGTCCATCAGCTCATTTTGTGACAGACACACTGATGATGATAATATGAAAATATATGTCTAAATAAGCAGACTGTGTTCTGACCTGATCTATCCAGAGTTTCCCGACAATGATATTGTGCACTGTGGTTGTGACTTTCTTCCAGGTGTAGTGATTGGTACTCTTCTCAAAAATACAATGAATAGAACCTGGAGAAACAAGCAATTCAAAATGAGCTTGAAAACTCTTGCTTAAAGACATAAATGTAAGCATTCAAATATCCATCTTTCCACATGAACAAAATATACTAATATATTAATGCAGAGATTCCACATTTATTTTGTCAGCCAAACCTTTTGACTTAAAATATCCTTTACTTGAAATACCCCGAGATTTTAAGATAATACTTTAATAATTTAACAACACATTTACAGTTCTCTGATGTTGGTTAATAGTCACCCCTTAGGTATCGAAATTTGGTACCGAACGACAAGACGTTTTTCGATACTCGATGGTATCGAGGCAATTCGGTCGGTGCCTAAAAAGTATCGAACTCGATACCCAGCCCTACACATGACATCATGAAAATAAATAAAATATTTATTTGTATTTAATATATAATAAAAAAAATGTTGTGTTTTATTTTGAATGTTTTTATTTTCAATAATTTATACATTTTCATTTTACATTTTTATGATTTAAATTTATTTTTTTTAATAATCGATTCACAAAACCTAGTTTGGTCAACCCTGTATAGTACCATTTAAATTGGCCTATCAAAAAAGTATTTGGATATTTAAGTCGCAATTAAAAATGTCCAAATGTTGTTGCATTAAATTAAATATCAAATCATGTGATACTTACTTTAAAGGCAGCACTGGCACATTTCAGGCAAAACATTTAGTTTCAGTTAGGTTTTTTAAATTATAAAACAACTTTTACTGTTGAAACTGCTACTGTTAAAAACACTTTGCATTTGTCAAATGTTAGTTGAACATATTCATAGTTAATGTGATTACATGTCCAAAAACTTTTTGATTTCACTCGACATTGTTTCTAATGGATTTGTTGCATTACACTTCCTGTTTTATAATATGTTTGTTTTAAAAAAATAAAAAAAACTTCCCTGTTAAATGAAAGCTGCATGTTATTTTAAAACTTGAACATTGTGATAAGGCTCAAAATAGGATAAATAGTTACCCAGGGGCATGATGGAGAGATATTTTCCCCTGAACTTGCTGGCCAAGGCAATCTCCTGTCTCAGGGTCCAGCCTCGCTCGGAGATCGCGTGATGGGCCGCAGCCGGAGGGTGATGGCTTACCTGAAGAACACATTAATATCAAGCGCAATTCGCTTCAGTTCAGCTCTTCCTCTATCTCAGGATAAACAAAGGCTCACCTGCTCGCAGAGGGACCTGTAGCCGCTCTCCTGCACGCGGTCCAGCTCAAATGTCTCTCCCAGCAGAGGGTTGAAGGGTTTGCCCGTGCGGTGAACTGTAGTGGAGTAAGAGGACACGGTGAAAGCTGCCACGTAGCACATCTGCTCCAGAGAGCTCTGGCACTTGGCGGCCCGGTCCAGCAGCTCGTAGTACTCCAGATCCTCGGAGAGACGCTGCAGCATGGACAGGGGCTCGTTGAAGTTCACCTGTGAAAAGTAAGGATGCGTTGACAGCAAATGCAATGAACCTGGGCTGTTTGGGATTCTCGTAAAGACACGGATGAACGTACAGGCATAGGGATTTTGGAGAGCTCTTTTCCGATACAGTTCTTCATGATGCTCCATAGATTGAGAGAGTAATTTGGTTTATCTGGGATTCGGGTCCGCCTCTTTCTCACAGGCACTAGTTCCTGGGACTGTGGAGATTCGGGATTGGATGCCAGAGACTGCTCATCTAGCTGTGAGAGGTTAAAAAAAACATGAACTTTAGTTGTCAATATGGGTTTTTGGATTTATAGACATCACATGGAATCGAATTTGACTCGCATACAACGGTGGTCAAAAGTATGGAATAATTACAATTTTTTATGTTTTTTTCGTTGTCTCTTCTGTTCAACAAGGCTGCATTTATTTGATCAATAATACAGTAAGAACAGGAATATTCTGAAATATTTTTACAATTTAAAATAACTGTTTTCTATTTGAATATATTTTAAAATTTAATTTATTCCTGTGATCAAAGCTGAATTTTCAGCATCATTACTCCAGTCTTCAGTGTCACATGATCCTTCAGAAATCATTCTAATATGCTGATATGCTGATTTGCTGCTCACGAAATATTTAAAAATCAAATTTTTAAATTGGAATAATATTTCACAACATTACTGCTATTACTGTATTTTTGGTCAAATAAATGAGCCATGGTGAGCTTAAGAGACTTCTTTAAAAAAAAAAAAAATTATTCTGCCAGTGTACATAAACACTAACAACATAATGCCTTACCGACGTCGTCCCGTCGTCCATTCCCAGCTCGCTACTGATTCCGCTGACATTGCTGCCGGATCTCCTGAGAGAAATGGAAAGAGCGTATGAGAGAGCCAGAGAGTGAGAGAGAGGAGGAAGGGGAAGGGAAGGCAGAGGACACACACACTTAGGTCCAGTAACACTCATATGAGAAGAGAGTTAAGGGACAGCGAGGGATGTGAGTAAACAACAAGAGCGAGGCAGTAAATACAGACCTGTGATATTTGGGGTCTGCTGGTACGGTGATAAACTCTTGAACGTCCTCGCATGCGTCGAAGAATTCATTCTCCTCATCCTCGTCACTGGCGTCACCCTTTCCTGAAACTGGGCCTACAGGACAGAGAAAGCAGGAAGTATAAAATACAAACAGGACATCAGTATGTCATATCCAAATGTATAGCAGGAGTTTTTAAATATAGAAATGAGTTAGAATGATCAATATTCACAAGGAATTGGCTGACAATTTAAAAAATAAGGAATACTTTGAATATTGCAAAGGTTTCATTGCAATTTTTTTAATTGGCCAATATGTTTATTAAAGAATAGAAAAGGAGTATTTTGAATCAGTTCAAACTGTATAATTCAAAATGTAAATTTTAATTGATTAAAAAATCTGATTTAATGACTCATTTGCAATACCAAAACATTTTTAAAACAATTTAGTTATTAAAATGTTGTGAAATACACTACCTTATTGTATCAAAATGATACATTTCAAAAGAAATTAATAATTTTATTAAGCATGCATTAAATTGATCAAAAGTGTCAGTAAAGACATGTATAATGTTACAAAAGATTTCTATTTCAAATAAATGTTCTATTTCAAATAAATAGTGTTAAACTATTTATTCATCAAAGAATCCTGAAAAAATGCATCACAAACAGTTCCCACCAAAATATGAAGCAGCACAACTGTTGATAATAATAAAATGTTTCTTGAGCAGTAAATCAGCATATTAGAATGATTTCTGAAGGATCATGTGACACTGAAGACTGGAGTAATGATGCTGAAAATTCAGTTTGCATCACAGGAATAAATTACATTTTACAATATACTCAAATAGAAAACAGTTGTTTTGAATTGTAAAAAAAATTCACAATATTACTGTTATTACTGTATTTGTGATCAGATAAATGCAGCCCTGGTGAACATAAGAGACTTAAAAACATCCAACCCCAAACTTTCAAACTTTTTTTGTATATTTAGGTACATATTTCTGTTTATTAACATGTAGTGCTGTACTTCTTTGTTTAATGAAAACTATGCTGTGATTAAAATTTTCTGTTTCAGTTTTGAAAGACTCATTCAAAAGAATTTGCTTATAAAAGTCATTCATTGGTGAATCAAACATCACTAGTTGTCACTTCATTGTTGTGTGCAACTAGCGAAGACACCGCATTAGAAATCTTAGTCTACATATTAGTCTATATATAATTTTGTGGCACCCAGACTTTCGGTTTCAGTTGTACAGTACCTTTGCTATCTATGGCAGGGTTGCTCTGGGATGCAGGCAGTACGGTCGCTCCTCTGAAGGCTCTCTCCAGATGGTTGTGTTGTTTGGCGAGCTGCTCCAGTGTCTCCTCCAGTCGCACTCTCTGCTCTCTCTCGGCCTGCAGGGCTTTCTGCCAGCGCTTACTGTGAGTCTGAGCCAACGCCAAGAAGTCCCGGCAGGCCTGGGTATCAGATTGTTAGAGAATCGTTAAGAATACGTTTAACTGTGGTTTCTGTGTGCTAAACAGACAACCACAAGTGAATGAGGTAGTGAGTCGCATTTTCCCTAAAGCAAATGTTTTGCTCGGTGGTCTTACGTTGATCATGGCATTGGAGGTGATGCGGAAGAGAGTGGCTCGCTCCGTCACCTGTCGAATCTTTTCACTCGTCTCTCCTCCTAGCCGGACTCCCTCCAGCTCAGACAAGGACCTGAAAGAAAGCATAATAAACAACAAATTGGCCATCACACAGAGACTTTATATGAGCCGAATCTGAGTGGAAAACCAAAGGTTTTAGACACACCTTCATTTTCTTGAATATTACTATTTTCCACACTTCAAAATAATAGTAAAACCATCAAAACTGAAGTGAAATAAAGAGTGTGTGTGTTCATATAGATATATAGATAAACAGACAGAAACCTGAAAAAAATAAAATAAAATTTGAAATGTTGCCTTGGCAAATTACTGAAATAAAAAAATAAGTTGAAGCTCTAAAATTACTAAAACTTAAACTAAAAATAAAACTGAAAATATAACAATAAAATCTAAATCAAAATATGAATATCTTTATAAAATATAAATAACATAAAACTTGGAGAAAAAAATCTAAATGAGAAATGTTGCCTTGGCACATAACTGAAATAAAATAAGTTGAAGTACATAAATTACTCAAACGTAAGCTTAAATTAAGTTTTAATATAATGTTGCCTTGGCAAATTACTGAAATAAAAAATAAGTTGAAGCTCTAAAATTACTAAAACTTAAACTAAAAATAAAACTGAAAATATAACAATAAAATCTAAATCAAAATATGAATATCTTTATAAAATATAAATAACATAAAACTTGGAGAAAAAAATCTAAATGAGAAATGTTGCCTTGGCACATAACTGAAATAAAATAAGTTGAAGTACATAAATTACTCAAACGTAAACTTAAATTAAGTTTTAATATAATATTAAAAATAAATATATAACATTAAAAGCTAAATCAAAATATTAATAATATTTTAATAAAATATTAATATAATTATTTTGATTATTTTTAATTAAAAGTAAATAATTTAATAATTTGTAAATAAATATAATTAAAATAATAAATAAAATAATTAAAATAATATAAAAATATATAGATATATGAATGAAATAATAATAATAAATACATTTCAAGCAAAGGTTATTGATGTCATGAGGGCCATAAATTTAGTCAAGTGTGTCCAAACTGGTGGAGAAAGGTGGACTGACCGCTGCAGAGCAGAGCCGTGTTTGGCGATGAGGTCGTTGCAGGTGCTGAGATCCTCCACCTTGCTTCCCAGCGTCCGGAGGGTGGACTGCACCTCTGAGTTGCGTGAGCCTGCGCCCTGACCTGTTGCAGGAGGAGTGGAGTCATCCCCGGAGTCATCTGCAGGAAAAAAGAGGAACGAAAACTGTGAAACAGAAACCTCAAAGTGTGCATTTTTGTGCTATTCTCGAAAATGTGGTTTCCCATTCCTATCCAACGGACCCGATTCAGCCTGCATGCGGAAAGCTTTGGCTTTGGCCAGCTCCAGTGCTGTGATCCACCGCTGCCGCTCTACCTCTGAGCTGGCCTTCAGGTGATACGTCTGCGTGCCGCCATTAGAGATGACGAAGTTGCAGGAGTCCTCCACCGCGATATTGGCCGTGGCCAGGTTTATGGTGCCCCGACATGTGTGACCCATCTCCGCCTGGGTCCTGGAAGAGCAAAAGGGATGAAGATAAGATGATGTGTTTAAGAAAAAACACTTTAGTTGGTCATATTTATATCCTACTTTAGATTCAAACTGGGTTTTTCAGTTTACATGACGTTCAGACGGACCCTTCCTCACTAAACAGGTGGCCAGAATAAGACGCATTTCATAATGATAGTCTGGTTTTGTGAGGATAGAGCAGCATTTATGAGGCTCTCTTTAAACTAGTCAAGTCTTGAACAAAAGCCCCCTGACAGCTGTTTTTCAGCATCTGATGCAATATTCATGAATTAGCACTGAAAGGCAAGCATTCGAGAAATGCCTTCAGGTAGAGTTTCTTTCACTCTTGAGCATTTATGTGACAAATGATACGGTGCGTTACTGCTGCTATCACAGTATCTGGTATCAGACTGAAAACGAGCCTCATGTTTATGATCTTAGCAGATATTCTGAAAAATATTTACCTCAATAAACAATTCTGAATCTGAGCATGAATCAAATTAACCAGCTCCGAAATGAATAAATCAAATGTAAGACTGTAAGACTTAGACTGCAAATACAAAATGCAATATATTAAAAGTTTATTGCAAAATATTCAATAAACTCAATTCATATTCATAAAGAGGAGTACTAAATTTACAAAAACTAAAATCAATTAAAGCTAAAAAAAAAAAAAAAATTACTAAAGCACAAACAAAAATTAAAGGGATAGTTCACCCAAAATTCTGTCATTAATTACTTACCTTCATGTCGTTCCAAACCCCGTAAGAAAAAAAAAAAAGTATTCTCGTAGCTTCATAACATTACGGTTGAACCACTGATGTCACATGGACTATTTTAACAATGTCCTTACTACGTTTCTGGGCATTGAGCTTAATAGTTCCCTTGCTGTCAGTGTCTAAGCAGGATCAGAAAGCTCTCGGATTTCATCAAAAATATCTTAATTTGTGTTCCGAAGATGAACGAAGTTCTTATGGGTTTGGAATGACTTAAGGGGGGGGGTAATTAGAATTTTAATTTTTTTGGGTGAACTATCCCTTTAAAACTGAAAATAATAACAAAAGCTAATTCAAAGTATAATTAAATACTATAATAGTATACTGTATAAATACTAGTAAAATAACACTGTTGTATTTTATAAAAATGACCAGCTCATATGTAAACAGTACCAAATATATACAATATAAAGTTTCCATCTTTAACTGTAATTTGCCAACACGGGTGAATCACCAGTTCCAGGATTTTTCATACTCGGCAGGAAAAAATGAGGCAAACCTGTTTGGACGGGCTGTGTTTGGACATGGTACAAGACCGATGCCAGCTGATTTAACAGAGGCACAACAGTCCAGAGCCTGTAACCTGTGAAACTGTGAAATCTCTTCCTCGCCCTCTACATTTCCTGATGCATCTTTCAAACACACAATGAGAGTGATGAGAAACCATTGCAGGACCAGAGGAAGTGCTGAAATCAAGCCTTAAGTCGAGCCTGTGATCCTCCTGAACAGAGTTGACCTCTTAAGACTGTCACGTGACCCAAACTCATTCAGCCAATCATGTGGAGGTGGAAAAGACAATGTGCACTTGTGTCTTTTATTTACACTGTAATGCTACAGTAAGGTTTGCCACACCATTTGACTTATGCATTTTCATGACTTTTCTAGTTGATTAATGGATATGGATTTTTCAAAAATTATTTCATAGAGATTGCAATCACAAAGAATAATTTCTAGTGGATGAAAATTTTTTAGAGCGGAGCATTGCAACATAACTAAATATTCACTATAGAAATCACAGCCCAACATTGGAAAAAGTGCTTAATGTCTTAAAACTAAATCATTATGGTAATTGTATTACAAAGAATGAGTGGGACGTTTCCACTGTATGTGCAAATATTTTATATATTATGACATCACACAAAAAATGCAATGCACTTCTGGGCGTATTTAATAACAACAGACAGTATATGCAATGCACCTCTGAGTTTATTAGACAAGCATCTGTTAAACGGATCTCAGTTTCAACTTAAATCCAGTATATAAAAGTTGGATATGTAACAGATTGCATGATGAATAATCAACAAAATATTTTCTATGTAATACTATTTATGCAAGTAATTCTATTTGAGATTTATCAGAAGTTACTACATTAAAAATTAGTGCAAAGCCAAATTTGATCAGAATTTCATGGTTTTTATTCACATACACAAGTCCAAATGTTGCGATGATTTTTAAATATTTTTAAAACAAGTCTCTTATTCTCACCAAGGCTGCATTTATTTGATCAAAAATACATTGAAACAGTAATATTGTGAAATATTATTGCAATATAAAACAAATGTTTTCTATTTGAATACGTTTCCTGTGCTCAAAGCTGAATTTTCAGCATCATTATTCCAGTCTTCTGTGTCACATGATCCTTCAGAAATCATTCTAATATGCTGATTTGTAAAACTTTTTTTTTTTATTATTATTATTTAAGTTGAAAATAGAATGCATTTATTTGATCAAAAATACATTGAAACAGTAATATTGTGAAATATTATTGCAATATAAAACAAATGTTTTCTATTTGAATACGTTTCCTGTGCTCAAAGCTGAATTTTCAGCATCATTATTCCAGTCTTCTGTGTCACATGATCCTTCAGAAATCATTCTAATATGCTGATTTGTAAAACTTTTTTTTTCAGGATTCTCTGATTAATAGAAAGTTCAAAAGAACAGCATTATATATGTCTTTACTGTCACTTTTGATCAATTTGCATCCTTGCTAAGTGAAAGTATTAACTTCTTTAACATAAAAAAAATGTCTTACTGACACTAGCTTTTTAATGGTGGTGTATCCATTCACAAAGTGCCAGTAAGCATTGCCAAATGTTAGATGGTTATTAACTGTCTAATAACTGTCTGTATATCTTTCACTGCAGTTAAAATCAGCTATTTATGAACTCTTTTGGAAATAGGATGTTACAACGCCACACACATAATTTTTTTGCTCATTTTCAGCTCGACCTGAATGAAGCACTACAGATATTTTTTATTTGCTTTGGTGTGGCATAAGCACAGTATTTATTTAATGACATTTACATTTCATTTTCGTATTCAAGAAACAATTACAACATAAGCAAAGTAGTCAAAAATAAAGCAATACTCTCATTAGCCAACTGTTAGGGCGTTGGACTTTGTTATTTTATCATATATTTAAACATCAGGTGATGAGGGTGGATTTTAAAGAATGTGTTATCCTCTCATCTCAAACTGATGAGCAAACAGTGAGGATCGCACGAGCAAACAGACACACATGTGGGCGCTCCTGCATGCTCTCACACACACACAGCATTAATAATTGACAGAGCCCAATGAGATGAATGCAGCTTCAACACCAGATCAACTCCGACTCAAATCTAATTACGTAAAATGGCATCATCTTACAGACCGACGAACACCAGAAGGTGTTGAGTTTGTTCGCCCATTTAGCATCCATCCATTCTAGGGTTATTATCGTTAACTAAAACTATTAAAACTTTTTTTTTTTTTTTTTTAAATAAAGCTGAAATATAAAATAAAATATAAATATTAGATTAGATTAAAAACTAACTTATTTCAGTTAGTTGACAAAGCAACATTTCTAATTTTTGTTTAGTTTAAGAATTAAACCTGGAAATTAAATAAATAAATAAAACCTAAATAGTAATTAAAAAATTAACTAGTAATATTTTTTTTAAAAATTAAATAAATAAAGCTAATAAAAAATTACAAAACCATATTACAAAATCACAAAAAATTAACTAGTAATATTTAAAAAAATAAATAATAATAATAAAGCTAATAAAAAATGACAAAACCACATTACAAAATCACAAAAAATTAACTAGTAATATTTAAAAATAAAAACCTAAAAGTAATTTTAAAAAATGACAAAAGCATATTACAACATTACTAAAAGTTTAATTAAATTTAAAACAAAAACTGAAAGTATAAAAAAATAAAAGCTTATTTAAAATATTAATACAAAACTACTAAAATACTAAAATAACACTGGTCCATCCAGTCCAATGGTTTGAAGTAATTCGTATGATTTGAGGCATCATCAATAAAGCACAAACAACATGGGAAAGGTTATGCATAAGTTTGAGGGGTTTGTATGAGTAAAAGCAAAAGTGATGCTTGTCGTACCAAGAAAATTTAAGTTATTTCACTATCTAGAGCTTTGCACCTTATCAGATATTGGTGAAAGGCCAAAGCACACTTGACAACATCACAAAGGGTTCATAAGGACATCAGCCATTCCTATCAACCATTGGGAGACCTTTTGTCTGACGGAAACAGTACCTGACAACATTTTCTTTTTTTGTCCCTAGAGGTCAATAAACAACAATAACACGTCACAAACCCACCTGTAGTAAGACAGCAAGCCATTGCTCAGGACGAACCAGCGCCTTTGGTATCCCTTTATGTAATTAGTCCATTTGAAGAGCCAGCCTTTATAAGTGTCCCCAGGGGCCGGGGTGGGCGCTTTGGGCTCCGACATCACGACAGCCCGTGGCTTCACAGTGTCTGAGGGGGGTCTGGGGGTGAACACAAAGGGTTAAACAGGTTAGTTGACACCAATGCCTGTGTGATTCACACCTTGATGGACAACATTTTTTCTTGTACCCCAAGGCACCTGAAATGTTTACTAACACACCTAAGTTGTGTCGTTCCCTACCTAGACAGCATTTTACGGGCTGTGTGTAGGTTGACAGCACACTAGGTTTTGAAACACAGCCCAAATCTTTCATATAAAGACTGAAACGTGTTATACTCAGTGGATATCATGTCAACGGGCTCGTTTCGCCTACGTGTCACTCTGTGAATCCACTTCATGACATTTACAGACACGAATTAAAACAAAACTCTTTAAACAGCAGTGTTTACGACCGTAATAAACGAAAACAAACATATCTCGGGCTATTTAAAACTTTGTTTAGATAAACAAGGCCTGTATGCAGGAGTCATTCACACACAACTACGAGTCCAAATGACGCTAAAATGACAAAGTTTATTCATAACGCCATGACATATAATATAAACAGTCTTAATGTTTTATTAAAAATCCAGTTTGCTTACACGCATGTGCATAAACGTAAAATGACTTTGACGGCTAATTCAGCTAACGGCTAATAAAACTGACGCGCTATCGCGAGACATGACCGCGTAAAGTCAAAAACACCGATATATCTGTAAATAAAACACTTGTGTGAAGACAAATCAGCGATAAGCCTGTCAAATGCGCGTTTATCCTCTAAAGGCCCTTTAATAATGACAGCGTGCGGGGAAATGGGTGTTAAACTGAAGCTAACTAGCCTGTGCTAACCTTCAAGCTGTGTATAATGACAGAAATCCCGACAATTCATGCAGAACATCAGATGAAACCTCGGGGAAATCACGCAAAGCGACATGACAAGGCATGGAAATCTGAAATCCCCAGTGCTGAAATGATTTAAAGTGTGTAGGTGGGTGCTTGCCAGCTCTTACCTGATCTCTCAATGATCCCCTCTGAAGAAGGAAGTCAGTGACATGAGATCACAAGAGTGAGTTACTCCGCGCACAACTCGCATAAAAGTCACATTATTGCATCTTTCCCCCTTCACACAATACAGACACCGTCCTGATTCTGAGCAGTACATGTGCCTGCATGATTAGACTTACTCGTTAATGACATTTTAGTCGAAATAGGATTTGTTTTAGTGTGTAAATGTGGTAAATATGGCGAAATAATAGATCAATAAAACCGCCCGAGTTACAGTGATTTTAAGAAGGTGCTTTGTTGTAAAATCACTGTCATGCATGACTTCGAGTGGTTTATTGCTTTTATAAAACGCTGGCGGCAGTGATATAATAGAAATACAAATGTTCAAGGATCATCTACATGTATTATTTATAATAACCGGAATAAACAGTTCTTCCAAGTAATTTAGTTCATTATCTAATTGTGGGCTGTTTACGGTTGCCGTGCAACGTAGCATCTCAGTGCATTGTTTTTTTTTAACCTCTTTAATAATAACCAGTCATTATCATTATTAAACACAAACAAGGCAAGCAGCATTGAAAGAGAAAATCAATAAGCATAAATAATAGCTATAAATAGTTGCATAAAACAAAAATAATTGCTTACAATTATTTTATAATGCAAAATTTCAAGGAGGTTAATCAGCATGTAACATTATAATATTAATCATCAAATAATTTTGAGAGTTTTGAGGCTTTTCGTTTTTGTCAGCAGGTTTAATAAAAAAATTCAAATGTTTTTTAAATGCCACTAAACTTTGGAGCAACCTAACTGGCCTATAATCAAAATATTATTACACAAATATTATTCATTAAAACACCAAACTTGACAATGTGATATTCAAAAGTCGTTGTTGTGTTCTGATCATTTATACATTTAATCCCCAAATCACGTAACAATTATAGGCTACAATTATAGGAAAAATGTTCCTGAGATTGAAACTCGTTGCATTAATTTAACAGGTGTATAAGCGAATGCGTTTCATTCATCATTCAGGCCACTGTAAATCAATGCAAATTTATAAACAAATAAGTAAAAAAAAACTGAACATTTATAAATAATCTTAAAAATAAAATAAAAGTGTAATATCTGGGATATTTTGTAATTTGTTGGGAAATGAAATGTGTTCCTTACACTGAATGTAAAATGCTACAGTAAAAACCAGTTAACTGTAAGACACTTAATTCTATGTAGGCTAATAAAATGATATTATATTTTATGTTCCGGTTTATGTAAGAATATGTCCACAAACTCCACCAAATCTTTCTTCTAGTTTGAGGTCAAAGCATCTAATTCCACCGGTATGTGGCAGATCATTTATAGCCTACATTTAGTTCCAAAATCACGTAACAATAGTACAAATGTAGGAAAAACATTCCTGAGACTGAAACTCGTTGCATTAATTTAACAGGTGCGTAATTAAAGCAATAAGCTAATGCGTTTCATTCATCATTCAGTCATTTTGTTTTGACGTGTCCACTCTAAATCAATGCAAATTAATAAACAAATAAGTAAATAAACTGAACATTTATTAATAATCTTTCAAATTAAAATAAAAGCGTAATTATTTATGCCTATGCCTTGCACTGAATGTGTGAAAAATACAATAACATTTTTTTTATTAAACACTTGTTTAGGAAATACAAAAGTGGAAAAAAACATATGCCAAGAAAAAGAGTTAGGGGTTCAAGGATGGAGAGAGAGAGAGAGAGAGAGAGAGAGAGAGAAAATAATAATAGTAATAATAATAATAAAATAACAACAAAAACAATTACATTAAAAAATTTTTTTTTTTAAATGGATGAAAAAAATTTAAACAGATCACATAACAATAAACATAACAATCTTTCATACAAAACATAAAATTAAACATAAAAAATTATACAAGAACACCAAAAAAGTGAGCATACTGTACATTCAAAGTTTTAGTTGCCTTTTTGTTCCAGGAGGTAGTTCTTCTAGTTATTCCACCGGTAGGTGGCAGTACGTGCGCTTGTTTGCTAGTAGACGAAGTCCGTGAAGAAGATTGTGTGTCATGCGCTGCAGTGTTCAGCTCCCAGTGTTTTGTTTTCAACTACAACACTCTCTGTTCAAGATATACACATATTACACCTACAGGGTAAGTGATGAATGCACGACGAGTTTAGAGAAGCAGAGAGAGAGAGAAAATAATAATAGTAATAATAATAATAAAATAACAACAAAAACAATTACATTAAAAAAAATTTTTTTTTAAATGGATGAAAAAAATTAAAACAGATCACATAACAATAAACATAACAATCTTTCATACAAAACATAAAATTAAACATAAAAAATTATACAAGAACACCAAAAAAGTGAGCATACTGTACATTCAAAGTTTTAGTTGCCTTTTTGTTCCAGGAGGTAGTTCTTCTAGTTATTCCACCGGTAGGTGGCAGTACGTGCGCTTGTTTGCTAGTAGACGAAGTCCGTGAAGAAGATTGTGTGTCATGCGCTGCAGTGTTCAGCTCCCAGTGTTTTGTTTTCAACTACAACACTCTCTGTTCAAGATATACACATATTACACCTACAGGGTAAGTGATGAATGCACGACGAGTTTAGAGAAGCGCTTTAGACAGAGTAGTTAGACTGTTAGTTTCACGAAAGAATATTATTCTGTTTTCAGGGAGATGCCTGTGTGCTGCTTACTAGTAAGTGAAGATGATTCACATAAACCCATTCAGCTTCATCACCAGCGATCCGTGACTCTGGGTCGAGGACCAGAAACTAAGATAAAAGACAAAACGTGCTCAAGAGAACAAGGTAGAGATTTTATTCCATATGAGAGCAAGTGAGAGATGCAGGCGTTATTAAAGAAACTACAACTGTTTTTTTTCTTCTTGCAGTTGAATTGAGAGCTGATTGCAGCAGAGGATTTATCTCTGTTAAACAGGTATGCTAGAATATTATAAATATTATCGAAAATATTCTAATAATATGGAATATAATGAACGTTTAAAGAAGCAAATCTATAAAATATAATAATGCATGCTTGAACCACTTGTTTATTTTTTAACAGTTGGGTGTGAATCCTACGAGTGTGGACAGTGTGGTTGTGGGCAAAGGCAATCAGGTACAATGTCATTAAAGTAGCAAACAGCTTTTTGAAAACATCTGAGTGACATACTGTATCTCAATATTTATCATTGGTCTGAACTTTTTATTTAAATCAGGAACAATCATTTCAGTCAGATAGTTATGGTTGTGCAGTAGATTAAAAAAGTTTCATTCAAAAGCTAATATACAGTAAAATTCTGGTTAAGAATAATCAAATCAGGATTTTCACATAGTTTGCACTAAATTAACACAAGGATGAATTATAATTATTTATATGCATAGCACACAGTAATGAAAAGCAATATTTACCTACACATATTTTGTTCAAAATCATTTTAGAGTATGTAGAGCACGCTCTCGTTAACCATCATTTATGTGTTATTCAGCATCTGGCAAACTTACCATGTCCGCAAATGTCCTGTTCTCTTGTAATTGAGGCTGTATTGCACAGGTTACTGGTCTTAATATCCTACAAACCACATGTCGCCCAACTCTACAATCAGGTGACCATAAAGCCGGGCCAGAGACTTTACATGGTCAATCAGCAGTATCCTTACAGAGTGAACTTCACTGAGGACACGTCTACTGCCAGATCTGCTGCAGACTTGAGCAAACCTTCAAAAAGACCCCATCAGATGAGCTCTGAGGGGAACGGAGAGAAGATCAAGAGCCCTGCAAACACAACATCAACACCGTATACAGACCATCACAGAATATCAGACGATTCGCCTCCACCAAAAAAGACACCGCCATCTGAATCAGATAAATCAGTGAGTTTCATTTGGCTCTAGATTCACATACTCATCACTGTATACTTTACGAATCATTGGCATGGACATCTTTACATCATAAGAGGAAATTGCATATGTTCATTGCTAAGGCACTTTTAGGTAAGTTGCTTTCTTATATTTCAAATCTCCTAATTTTTTCTACAAGTAGTTACTGTACTAGATCTCTATCGTACATTCGGTTAAAAGTTTCAAAAGTATGCTCAGAATTTGGAAAATGTGCTTTTTCTTTTTATGCCCTCTGGGCTTGGAATGATCTGCAAACTGTAGGGTTTGGAAAAATTAATCGTTAAACGAATCGTTTGGTAGTCGTTGAGCAAATAAGGTAAAAATAAATGCATATTATAAGACAATGAAAGTGTTTTTTGACCTTGCATGCATGTCAACCTGTTGTTGGGGACTCCCAAAACCAAAATATGAACCTTTCATTACCCATAATGGGGCACTTTAAACTCGATATACTGCCGTCCCAGAGTACTTTTAAATGTCTTTTGCTTTTGTTTTGATCTTGTTTTTCTTGACCTTACTTTTATTGTTTTGTATGAGTACAGTTTTTTTTTATTTTGTAGTTTTCTTTGTGTGAAACTATGTGCTGCCGTCTTGACCAGGTCTCCCTGGAAGAAGAAACTGTGATGTCTCATTCTCCTGGCTAAATAAAGGATAAATAGATAAATAAATCAGACTCTATAAGTCAGGAATTTTCAATAATTTGCTATAAAATTCAAATATATGATAGTTTATACTTGAAATTAAGGACTTTTAGGGTGTAGTTTCTGAGCTGGTTAAAAAAATTTTTAAAGTCTTTATTAAACTTTTTTTTTTTAATGTTGACCTCGTTTACTACATTGAGTTTTGAATTTAGATTAAAACACTGAAAAGATTCTTGTTTCCCAGGGATCGGCTGGCCATTGGAGCCAAGGGCTTAAAGTATCGATGCAGGACCCTAAGATGCAGGTATAAGTTGTTCTTTTCTGTTCAATCTTATATTGATTAAATAATTTAATATATTTAGTTCAAACTGACTTCAAGACTTTTATATGATTTATTTATATTTCAAATAAATGCTGTTGTTTTGACCTTTCCATTCATCAAAGAATCTTGAAAAAACAGCACGGTTTCCACAAAAATATGATATTGATAAGACATGTTTCTTGAGCAGCAAATCAGCATATTAGAATGATTTCTGACGGATCATGTGAAACTGAAGACTGGAGTAAAGATGCTGAAAAAAGGAATTAATTACTTTAAAAATATTAATAGCTCCCAATTTTTATCCTCAGGTGTACAAAGATGATCGGGTTGTGGTCATCAAGGACAAGTACCCAAAGGCGCAGTACCATTGGCTGGTGCTGCCGTGGGACTCGATCTCCAGTCTGAAGGCTCTGCGCTCGGAGCACGTGGGGCTGCTCAAACACATGCAGCGTGTGGGAGATCAGATGCTGCAGCAGTGCCCTGACGCTCACAAACTGAGCTTCCGTCTGGGATATCACGCCATCCCCAGCATGAGGTACTGACATCTGCGTCCTGATTGGCTGCTGAAGTGGGGAGGGCGGGGCTTGTCATGAATTAAATGTTTAGGATGTTTATTTCTTCTCAGTCACGTCCACCTACATGTAATCAGCCAAGACTTTGACTCGCCGTGTTTGAAGAACAAGAAACACTGGAATTCCTTCACTACTGACTATTTTGTGGAGTCTAAAGGTACATTATACACGAAAACAGCCTGTTACTCTAAATTAAAAATAAATGTCTTCATAATCCTTAAATCAGAATTTAATCATTTGCTCCATCACATGGATGCAAACCATAAAAGGAATAGTTGAAAAATGAACATTTGCTGAAACTCACTCTCTGGCCATCCAAGATGTAGATGAGTTTGTTTCTTCATCAGAACAGATTTGGAGAAATGTAGCATCACATCACTTGCTCACCAGTGGATCCTCTGCAGTGAATGAGAGTCCAAACAGCTGATAAAAACATGTGTGTACATTAATGAGGAAAAAAAATTAACATAAATGATTTTAGCAAATGGCTGCAATATAACAAAGAGTGAAAAATTTAAGGGGGTCTGAATACTTTCCGTACCCACTGTATATATATATATATATATATATAAAAACCTCTACAAGCTGTTTAAAGAAACAAGCATTTCCCTGAATAATAAAGGAAAGCATTCATGTTTCTCTTTCCACAGATGTCATTGCGATGCTGGAGCATGATGGGAAAGTGACGGTGAAAGAAGGCACTAGTGAATTACTGAAGCTGCCTCTGCGTTGTCACTTGTGTCATAAAGAGCAGCCGACCATACCTAAACTAAAAGAACATCTCAAAACTCACCTGCCTTCTTAAAGTCACAGGTATTTAATCTGTTAAAAGTCTGCTAAATTACAATTCATTTTGTAAACAGCCCATTGAATCCTTTAGTAAATTGAATTTGTTCTGGATATCTCGATACAGTGTTTTCATTCATTCAGACAGTCCTCACTTATTTTCATTATGAACATCGATACAGTAATGAATCAATAACATTTTGCACGTCTCTTTGGTTTTATTGAATGGAGTGATTAAAGATGGTAGTTAAAAGTAAATAGTTTTCCTTTCACACAGATGCACTTGATTGAAGCTGGAGTGTAATTTCAGCACTAAATGAAATTGCACAAATAACACTTTTCAGACAATTTGTTGATTGCTGGGATAAACAGGCCACCACAGTCATCTTGTTGTTCTCGAACAAACAGATTGCAATTCCATTTAGCGTGGTTTGTGATGTATACATTACACACTTCAGCGTATTGGCACGAGGGAAATGACAATCATTATGCTGTTCATTTAGAAGTTGAGGTCAAAATATATTTGCTTGTAACATACTGCTGCACAAAACAATATCATCAGCGAAAATAGCAGGATCTACTCTAGAATAATAAAATGACACTCAAAGAACAACTCTGAACCTTAACTGATCTGAAAAATCTTGCTGAGGGGATCCAATAATATTGCTTACATAGAAAAACAATGACAGTTCAAGTCTCTGCAGACAGGAGTGTATTTCACATCCGTTACAGAAGAAAATCTTTCACAATCAAATGACAAGATAAAATACAAAATATAAAAAAGTGAGATTACTAAAACAGGATTTGATAACAAAAATATCTAAAATACTAAGGCAGCTATTGCTAGCCGATAACTTCTGTATAAAATGTACTATCCTAAAAAACAAAAACAAATAAAAATGCAGTTAGATATAAAAACTGATATTATGGCTCTGGCATTTTTATTTTAAATAACCTGCAATATTCAACCTCTAAAGTGTTTTTCCATGCAAGTTTTCAGAAAACCCTACAAGGTTTTTGGATAAAAATGTAGGAGCAGAGACATTAGCTTGTAGACATCTATTGCCAGCATGTTGTGTTATATTTGTGCATGTACCCAGCTTTTCCCTGTAGTCATGATGACTGATGTCTGTCACATTAGAATCCCTGAAGAGAAGCTTTTGTGCATCTCAATAGCACTTTTTTTGGAGTGTCAGTTGATATAATACTACACTGCTCTTCATCAAGCCAGTGTACCTCCAGTCTGAAATATAATAAATGATACGAGTAAATAAATAAACAAACGTATATTTAATCCTGTGCTTGTTTTTCTGGAATTTCCAACTTCCAAAAGTCTAATAGAGTTAGTTCCTCCAAAAATGACAATTCTGTCCATCAGTTAACATCTAGTGAAGTGAAAAGCTGCATGTTTGTAGGAAACAAGTCCATCATTAAGATGTTTTTCATTTCTGACCTTTGCTTCTGGCTAAAATACAACTCCTCTATCCATAATATTGCTTTCTCCAATGAAATAGTCATCTCGTCTGAATCAGGAGAGAAATATGAACAGATTAAGCACTGTTAACAAGCCAGAACAATTCTAAACAAATTTGTGGGTGGATTTCAATGTGAGACGGGATGGACTTTTTCCACTGGAGGAAGCGTTATTGTGGATTATGGACTCGTATTTTGACCTGAAACAATGGTGTAAAGTTAAAATGTCTTAATGATGGATTTGTTTCTTACAAACATGCAGCTTTTCTCTTCACCAGACATGAATTGATGGACTGGAGTGGTGTGGATTATTGTGATGTTTTTTATCAGCTGTTTGGACTCTCATTCTGCTTTTCCCTGTAGTCATGATGACTGATGTCTGTCACATTAGAATCCCTGAAGAGAAGCTTTTGTGCATCTCAATAGCACTTTTTTTGGAGTGTCAGTTGATATAATACTACACTGCTCTTCATCAAGCCAGTGTACCTCCAGTCTGAAATATAATAAATGATACGAGTAAATAAATAAACAAACGTATATTTAATCCTGTGCTTGTTTTTCTGGAATTTCCAACTTCCAAAAGTCTAATAGAGTTAGTTCCTCCAAAAATGACAATTCTGTTATCATTTACACATCATCAAGTTGTTCCACACCTGTATTAATTTCTTTCTTCTGCTGAACATGAATGAAGATATTTTAAAGAATGTTGTGTTTTCGCTTTAGGAATTTTGTTGTGTGTTTTTATAGTCTATATAATTTTTATTTGTGTTTTAGCTATTTTAGTACTTTAAACAGAAATGAGAAATGCTGCCTTGGCAACTAGCAGAAATAAAATTATTTTTATATTTTATTTTATTTCAGTTAACATTTGTTTTGTATTTTTTGGTTTAAGTTTTGTTTAGCAAAAATTACTATTATAGCTTAAGTTCTATAGCACATAAATTGTCTCATGTTTATAATATATAATAAATAATACATTTTATATATGTACCAATGTTATAATACGCTGTAATAAACAACAATATTATAGAGTTAGAAATAAGCATTTTGAACTGTGATGCAAACAAACAAATATTAAACTGGAAAAATGCCTCAAGTATCACTGACAACATTTTGTTTAGTTCTGTCATTTTAAAATGTACTTTACTGGTGCAAATACATAACTGAGATATGAAGCTATATGGTTCAGCCCTGCGGTCGCTATGGCGAAGCCACAGATGCAGAGCTGCCATAGAAACACAAGATGATGATCAGGACACGGTGGCAGGTAGCAGAAATTATTGATGGGCAATATTTGCCCCCTGGAACTGATTTCAGGTGCATTGTTTACTTATATGAGAGGGTATTTTTACCATATAAAAACAGACAGCATGAAGTACTTAAGTTGAACCAATTAATTAAATACATTTCATTTAAACACTTATGACTATAATAACAAAATAACATCAGACAATGATAATAATATTGTTTAAAACTAATAACAAATATTATTCATACTTAATGTTTTTGGATTGGTAATTGTGTCCAATAGTTGCTTTTTTTTTTTTAAATATGTGAATTTTATTTCTTTATATTCATTTCACATGTCTGTTTTCTTACCATGCCGACATTGAAGAGGATGAACAGGAGCAGCCATGGGATATCTGTGCACTTCCTCTGCTCTAAGGGTTTCCACTCGCGGGTCTTCTGTAAAGGGGAAGTTGACATAGTTGACGTGACACACACAAACTCTCTTTTAACCTAAATAGCTAAATAAATAACTACATGCATAAATAAATACTTTTTTTTTGCGGATTTAGCATTAAACGACTTGTCACAAGCTGATTGGTTCATGTTGCATACGCAGCCAATGAGCTTGTTGCCTTACATTTAAATGACTGATTAGCATTCGCTTGAGCATTTCAGCGCGCTTTAGAGTTCCTCTGAAACCCAAAATATTTTATGAAAAATGTATATTTAAAACATATAATATATAATTTATACTGACACTACAATTCAAAAGGTTAGAGTCAGACTCAAGTGCTCTGCATTTATCCCATCCAAGTGCACACACACACAGCAGTCGTGGCCTAATAGTTAGAGATTCATAAATATATTAATACTATTTCACTGCTTCCACAAAAATATGAAGCAGCACAGCTGTTTTCAACATTGACAGAAATACATACATGCATACATATTACAGGGTGCGATTTGTGAAAAAACCAGAGGGATGGATGCTTTTGAAAACTTTTTATGAAATGTTTTTAATACGACGGAAACTGTATTTAACGTGATCACAGTTTAATAAAAACATTGTACGTTAGGCCTATTAATTGTAATGATTTCATTTCCACGGTTATTCAAACAATGAATAAATTATATAGAGAAAGTGAGCAAAGAACACAACAGAGCTTTTTGAAACTCCGAATCAGTTAAACCACTGGGTCGCAAAATGATTCACCGTTTCGAAGCGCTCCAATCGGATCGCGTATCACGAATCATTTGATTCAGATTGGGACTTCAAAGTGTGTATTGCGAATCATTTGATTCAGATCGGGACTTCAAAGCACTTATCGCGAATCATTTGATTTAGATCGGGACGTCGGAGCGGGTTCGCGGGATGTTTTCATCCCCCACTGGGGATAAAAATAATTAAACAGATGCAGGGATGCATAGACCAGACCCCCCAGCCCCATATTTTATATATATATATATACACACACACACACACACACACATTTATTTATTTTTATTTGAACCTGTTTAGTACTCATTCAACTTATTTTATTTCAGTTAGTTGCAAAGGTAACATTTCGAATTTTCGTTTAAGTTTTTTATTTATTTATATATTTATTCTAAAGTTTTCCATCTAATATTTATATTTTATTTTAGCTTTATTTTAATTCACGATAACCATTTTAATAGTTTTAAATAACAAAAACAATACTGGTGACCAGTCGCAGTTTCAAAAATTATAAGCTTCTCTTTTTATCCTAAAATCTTGTTCTTGGGAAAAGTTGCACAGAGCATGAATAAAACAATGAAAACACCGCAGTGAATGAATGGGACTGTCTGAACACACCGGACTCGTTTTCAGTGAAACCAGGTGCTGTGCCCAATTCTGACCCCCGCCAGATTATTACCCCCCAGTATTGGTAGGTTTAGGGTTGGGTGTGGGGGAGGGGTTACGAGGGGGGTAATAATTTGGCAAGGAGTCGAAAATGGGCACAACACCGGAAATGAGCTTGACACTGCTCACAAACAAAGCTCTGCATCGATTTATCATTATTTAGATGTAATAAAGGCGATTGGCTCAATAGCTCCTGTTATAAAGTACACAGACCTTCCGTTTTATTAATCTACAAGACACTTGCTTGCATATGAGTGACTGTGATATGAGTGTTTGCGCTCATAACTTCATGCAGCGCATGTAGGCGTTCGAGTCAAAAAGTTTCCAGATGTCAGTCAGCATGCATTTACACGGTGTTGTGTTTTATGATGTCTTACCTGTGTGCTACCGCAGCATCCCATAATTCCCGAGCTGATGAGAATCACAAACACACAAACAGAGCTAAATCAGGGAGTTGGCAGCAGCGCGATCAACGTGTCCTGCAGCAGTTTCGGAAGACTGGAGTGTAAAAGTTGCACATTGGTAATAAACACGTACAAATGCCCTTAGAAACAAAGACGCGTCCGCTATGGAATCACGCATGAATATAAAACTCGCTCGAGCCGCTAGTGTTAGTAAATGGATTAGGATCTGTTTTTTCAGGATCTGACGTGCTGTAATTCTCCCTCGCGAATTCCGTGACAAGGTGAAGGCGGAGCTGGGCTGTCCTGTCCTCCTCCTCTTCCTCCTCCTCTTCCTCCTCCTCCTCTTCTTCTTAAACCAGTATCAGATATTTCACACTCCAGTTCATTTTTGAGAGCTACTGGAGTCTGACTGTCCATACTCGAAGATAGATTAATATTAGGACACGTTTCACGGTTGTTATGCTTTATTAAAGACTATGGAATACCCTTAAAGGGACTTTGGCTTTATGTCTTTTGAACAGATTCTTTTGTAATGATTCGGTTAATATGATTCAAGGAATCACTCGACTGCAAGGGATTGATCTTATTTTTAAATCTTATATTCAGTAAGTGTTAACTGCGATAGACGTTGTTTAGGAAAAAACTACAATATTGGACACTATGTTGTTAACGTCATTGGGAATCATTTTTATATATAATATGTATTGAATAACATTACAAATAATATTGGAAATTACGTTGTTGACAAAAATGTTACAATAAACGACCGTGATCTATGATAACCTAATCGACAACAGTGGTTAATAAAAAACAAAACATTAAACGTAAATTAAAATGCCGCCGAGGATACTGCGAACACTTACCTGGAAAGAATCAGTGAAGAGGTTAATTGAAACGAACCGTTCGAACGAACCGATTCACTACAGTGATTCGGACAATTGAGCTCGTTTACTGCGACTTTAGCACCATCTAGCGAGAATAAATAAGTAGTGCGATTACATTATCACCATTGTCACATTATGGAGTTCCAGTGGACATGCTTTAGGCGCAGAGATAAAATGGTGAAAATCGTAAAATCATAAGACGGTAGTGTTATCTGAAGCTATAGATTATTTTGTTAAAGTCCATTGTTTCCTTCGTGGTAAGAATCCCAAAAACTTTGCAAGACAAACCAAATGTCAAAAAGTGGAGATGCCGGGGATTGAACCCGGGGCCTCATACATGCAAAGCATGCGCTCTACCACTGAGCTACATCCCCGCCGCAGCAGTGTCAAGGAAACAGCGCTCATAAGCATTTACTTGGAAAACGCGATTAACGTTGTAACATGAAATATCAATCTATTCTGTCTAACGCCGCTTCTAGGGTAACATTAAATATGTTAACATTAAACATGTTTTTGGAATAACGCCCCCAAAAAAGTTTTGTTTACGTGGAAAAAAATGATTCAGAGAGCGGCATGTTTTTTTTGCATGTTTCTAAACCCGGTTACTTTTTTTTTCTTTCAGTTGTTTATATATTATTAATGCATATAAAATCAAGTCTACATATCTATCACCAGTAAGTTTGTCTTTTTTGTTACTATTATTTATTTACTGCAATTCTTTTTTTCTGCTACTCACAGTTAAGAAATTACACACAGCACCTGAACAGAACAGAAAAAGGGCACAAGAGTGACTGAAATAGCTTTTTAATATTTAAAATGTAAACACATACATTGTAACAGAAAATAATGGCCACGGTGGGACATCTAAAATGATCTATTAACCTTTTGTTAAACACAAAATGTCCTGTTTGTGAACTATGAATGTCAAGACCAGTTTAACATTATAAAGTGCTTCAGTTTTGGACCAAAGACAATACTTTGTTTCTTCTACTTCTTCCACGTCATTCAGTGGCAGCAGGGATTGTTGCTTAATTTCTGAGGGTGCCTGACTAAAAAGCACCTCATGATAAAAAATAAACTCAATCGGTAGCACCTCATTGCTTTTGGTCACTTCACGCTGTTGGCGAACAACAATGGTGCCATTGGTTGAGATCATAAAAGTGGTATAATAAACTAAACATAAGCATTTAGTATAAGGAGGCACATCCTGAGATATTAACTCCTGTACCAGAGGCCTATGAATGTCATTTCTAAGAAAAAACCTGTAGCTGCCGTCTCTCAAGGCCTTACTGTACGATGAAAGTCTTGTTTCAAATCGCACAGTGTAGACAACAACAACAACAACGTAACATTTAGTAGCCTGCTGAGAGCCACTAATATCCAACAATGGTTTTAAACCACTTGACCTGGTTTGGCACGGAAATGATTTGTTTCTGTACAGTTTCACACAATATGAACTCGCCTCCGCTTCGGGCCGTTTTGGACACAAAAACAACTACGAGTCTCCCAGCGAAGTCCCACCAAACTCGCCTCAAGATCAGCGAACATCTGTTGAAACCCACGCAGAAATACTTCAGGATAACAAAGCTAGAGCATGCTTGAGCTTACAATGGCGTCCTAAACATGGCATCAATGTAAAGCATGCAATTAACTTCTAAAGTCATCCGCTCCGTCTTCACAGTAGATGTAAATATCACTGTAGCTTTGATGACAGTGTGTGCTCCACGCTTCGAGTCCATTAGCGGAGTGTTGTTTCAAGGCACGACACTTTCAAACACTTGACAATAACAATAGTAATACATTGCACGTCATTGCATCAAAATATCATTTGAGTATAGTTTTAAAATGCATGTCTAAAAAAAGTAAAGTACAAAGACTTAGAGTAGTTGCTGAAATGCAAAGTTTGAAGCCTGTGCTAAATGAGGAGATGAATTCCACATCTCATTGGCAGTGTCTGAATGATGTTTTCGCAGACGTCTTGTCAATCAAACATTCACCGCTAGAGGAGCGAACAGCTTCAAGTTTCCTCACGTTCACCGCGACGGGGCGACAAGCACCAGGCTCGGCCTCGCTGTCATCGGTGTTTGTTTTACGTCAATCTTTTTTGCATTGATTTGCATTGTTTGTTTCAGTAGTGTGTTTCCGGTCCAGCGCCCTCTTGTGGGCACAAACACACACAGCTGAAATTGAACAAAAAAAACTAAAAAGAGTAGTACAAAAAAACGACATATTAGTCCCGTGAAGGTGGATTTTTGTATCCATTGAATGGCGGATCACACCACAGTCTCTTTGGCCTTCTCGTCTACGAGGAAGGCGTTCAGGTGAGAAATGTCCACAACGGCATCGTTTTTGTTAATGTCTTTTAAGTGGTCCTCGTCACTTTGGTCCTTGGCAAAATTGACAAATACCTGAAATGAACAGACAAACAAATATAAGTCTCAACCAATGGCGTTTACATAGTCTTGAAATCTTATTTGAAATTTTGCATTTTTGTTTGCATTTTACTGCAAATTTGTAGTTTTTGTTCTTTCTTCCATTTTTTTTTGTCTTGTTTACACTAACACTCAAAAGTTTGGAGTCAGTAAGATTTTTTCATGTTTTTAGAAGGCGTTCAGGTGAGAAATGTCCACAACGGCATCGTTTTTGTTAATGTCTTTTAAGTGGTCCTCGTCACTTTGGTCCTTGGCAAAATTGACAAATACCTGAAATGAACAGACAAACAAATATAAGTCTCAACCAATGGCGTTTACATAGTCTTGAAATCCTATTTGTAATTTTGCATTTTTGTTTGCATTTTACTGCAAATTTGTAGTTTTTGTTCTTTCTTCCATTTTTTTTTTGTTTTGTTTACACTAACACTCAAAAGTTTGGAGTCAGTAAGATTTTTTCATGTTTTTAAAATAAGTCTTTTATGCTTTTATGCTTAATATAATTTTTGCTTATTATAACAGTAATTTTATGAAATATTAAAATATTACAATTTAAAATAGTTATATAATAGCCTTTCTGCTTAATGAAATTTTTGCTTATTGTAACAGTAATATAATGAAATATATATTGAAATATTATTGCAATTTAAAATGACTTAATTTTATAACAGCTGTTTTGTTTATTTTTTTCCTTATTTTAATTGTTGCTGATTTATTTTAAAATATTACAGTTTAAATTAATTATATAATAGCGTTTCTGCTTAATGAAATTTTTGCTTATTATAACCGTAATATTACGAAATATTATCACAATTTAAAATAATTTAGTTTTAAAATAGTTTCATTAAATTTTTTCCTAATATTATTACAATTTAAAATAACTGTTTTCTATTGTAATACAGTTTAATTAGTCTTGAAATCTTATTTGTAATTTTGCATTTTTGTTTGCATTTTACTGCACATTTGTAGTTTTTGTTTTTGTTCTTCCATTTTTTTGTGTGTTTTATTTACACCAACACTCAAAAGTTGGGAGTCAGTAAGATTTTTGTCTTTTATGCTCACCAAGCAAGTTTATTTGATCAAAAATACATATTATGAAATATTATTGCAATTTAAAATTTGCTTCATTTAATTTTTGCTTATTATAACAGTAATATTATGAAATATTAAAATATTACAATTTAAATTTTGCTTATTTTTCTTATTATAACAGTAATATAATGAAATCTTGAAATATTATTAAAATTTTAAATAACTGTTTTCTATTGTAATATATTTTAAAATGTAATTTACTCCTGTGATCAAAGCTGAATTTTCAGTATCATTTCTCCAGTCTTCAGTGTCACATGATCCTTCAGAAATCTTTCTAATATACTGATTTGCTGCTCAAGAAACATTTCTGATTATTATCAGTGTTGAAAACAGTTGTGCTGCTTCATATTTTTGTGTAAACCGTGATACTTGCTTTATTCAGGATTTTCTGATTAATAGAAAGTTCAAAAGAGCAGCATTTATTTGAAATAGAAATCTTTTGTAACATTATAGGTGTCACTTTTGATCAATTTAATGTGTCCTTGTGAAATCCAATGGATTTCTCATTTCTTTAAAAAAATTAAAATAATTGCACAGCAGTGTAGTAGTTTTCGGAATATTTGTGTGTTTTCTGACTCCAACATTTACGTATTGCAAACGGTTGCACTTTTAAATCTGAATGGCATTGACTATGACAGAAAACATCTTGATGCGCACTTACTTGGTCTAAAGTGGTCTGTGAGACGGAGTAGTCCTCGATGTGGAGCTGCTCTTTGTTCTTGGAGAGGATGTTGAAGATGCGGGCGAGGGATGTCAGCGACGAGGGCAGCTGGTACTGCAGCATGTTCCTGTGCTTCTCCTTCAGCGTGCTTCCCGGCAGCTCCCGCTCGATGAACTCCATCACCGGCTGCAGCTGCGGATCGGCCCCCGCCACCCGCAGGATGATGGTGTACCCGTCACCGAACCTGGAACAGCCACAGCAAAAGGCTTCAGTGAACTGATTCAAAAGAGTCGATTCACTGGAATGATTCAAACAGCAGTGTAGTAGTTTTCGGAATATTTGTGTGTTTTCTGACTCCAACATTTACGTATTGCAAACGGTTGCACTTTTAAATCTGAATGGCATTGACTATGACAGAAAACATCTTGATGCGCACTTACTTGGTCTAAAGTGGTCTGTGAGACGGAGTAGTCCTCGATGTGGAGCTGCTCTTTGTTCTTGGAGAGGATGTTGAAGATGCGGGCGAGGGATGTCAGCGACGAGGGCAGCTGGTACTGCAGCATGTTCCTGTGCTTCTCCTTCAGCGTGCTTCCCGGCAGCTCCCGCTCGATGAACTCCATCACCGGCTGCAGCTGCGGATCGGCCCCCGCCACCCGCAGGATGATGGTGTACCCGTCACCAAACCTGGAACAGCCACAGCAAAAGGTTTCAGTGAACTGATTCAAAAGAGTCGATTCACTGGAATGATTCAAAATCCTGATGTGTAACCTCTTACTTGTTCTTTAAGTGCTGCACACTGCCCAGGCAGCGGAACCTGCCGTTCACCATGATGGCCATACGAGTGCAGAGCGCTTCACACTCCTCCATACTGCAGAAAAACACAGCAAAGTCATGCAAAGAAGTCAGATCACAAGAATAAACCACACTGACTGAGGCTCTCTCACCTGTGTGAGGTCAGGACGACCGAGCGTCCCTCTTTAATGATGCTGAGGATGCAGTTCCACAGGGCCCGCCGGGCTTTGGGGTCCATCCCAGTGGTGGGTTCGTCCTGTAACCACAGCAACAGCCAGGTTAACCGTCGCCCACAAATTCAGCAGGAAACACAAGCAGAACACCATAAAGAGTGGGAAGAGCGTGATCATGCTCCTCCACTCTGACTGACGGCCTTCAGGAAAGTGGAGCGCTGCGCTGCCTCGCTTTAACTGCTGGTTCCTTGGGAATTAAATACTTTACAGTGTATTAAAAATGTGGCAAGAGCCAAAGGCCACGCGCGTGGGTGTCGCTTTTGTTCTGGGAAAATGAGGTCTGCCAAGCAGCCGATCTGATGACTGTTACACAAGTGCAGATCTTTTCATGAATTGCAGATGACCTATATAGACCTGTATGCAGTGTTTTGGGGTTTTTTAAGAGTAAGAGTATCATTTTTGGTGGTTTTGAGTCTGTTTTGAATTCAGTACAATAACTAGGTATAGGTTTTGCTCTGGTTTTGCTTCAGTTTGATGGTTAATACCAATAATTCACCTCACAAAACACACTGTGGTTGGCATAACATTTATTATGTGCCTTCATTCGTGTGATCAGCAAGTGTTTTTTCCTTTCTTTTAAATTCTGATAATATATATATATATTTTTAGATTTTATTTATTTTGCTTGACTTTGATAACTATGCACAATTGTATAGTTGCATTTGTATTTTATTATGCCTTTTATGCATTTGCAATTTATTATTTACACGTAGCATTGTTTTTCCCTGCTCTGCAGAACAATCAATACAAACCTGTGATGCATTTTTGGATTGTGATGCACTATTTGAATAAATTATCATAAAGTTAGTTGCACACTCACCAAGAACACCACTGGCGGTCCTCCGATGAGCGCCATAGCGGTGGAGAGCTTCCTCATGTTTCCCCCGCTGTAGCTTCCTGCTGCTTTGTCTACATACTTCATCAGGCCCAGTTTACGAATGCCCCAATCTGCCACCTGCGACCAACAAGCAACCAATCAGATCCCTCGATAATCAGCTGCGACATTAGTACTCAGACTTTCCCTATCAATGGCAGCTAAAAACCGACCTCGCACACTTCCTTCTCTGGGACGCCCCGCAGAATGGCGTAAAACTCCAGATGTTCTCGGCCAGTCAGCAGATCACTGATGGCATCAAACTGCGGACAGTAGCCCATATTCTGATGCACTTCATCGATCTCTGTCAGCACGCTGCAGAAAACAAGCCAAGAGTTTGGTACTATTATGAAAAGGGTCATGAAACACATTTTTGAAATGTTATGTAAGATGTTTTTTAGGGATGCACTAGCATATCAATGACCTCTAAGTCACAAAAACTCCTGTGTTTAAAGTATTACTGTTTTAATTTTTGTACCTCTTTCCTGCCAAGTAGGCCTCTCCGCTAGTGACAACAGAATCTCCTGTGAGCATTTTGAAGGTGCTTGTCTTTCCAGCTCCGTTCACGCCGAGCAACCCAAAACACTGACGAAAGAACATAATATCATCAAAACCCTAATCAGCATCAGTTTATTCTAATCATACAAGACCAGGCTGAACTAAACAAACAAACCAAAAAAAACTATTGTTTATTTACTAAGAAGACAGATAGCTGATCTCACCTCTCCTGGTGGGATGCCCACACACAGTCTGTCTACAGCTGGCTTCTGCTTTCGCTTATAAACCTGCAGAATGACAGCAAGTGTTTTTTCCTTTCTTTTAAATTCTGATAATATATATATATTTTTTTAGATTTTATTTATTTTGCTTGACTTTGATAACTATGCACAATTGTATAGTTGCATTTGTATTTTATTATGCCTTTTATGCATTTGCAATTTATTATTTACACGTAGCATTGTTTTTCCCTGCTCTGCAGAACAATCAATACAAACCTGTGATGCATTTTTGGATTGTGATGCACTATTTGAATAAATGATCATAAAGTTAGTTGCACACTCACCAAGAACACCACTGGCGGTCCTCCGATGAGCGCCATAGCGGTGGAGAGCTTCCTCATGTTTCCCCCGCTGTAGCTTCCTGCTGCTTTGTCTACATACTTCATCAGGCCCAGTTTACGAATGCCCCAATCTGCCACCTGCGACCAACAAGCAACCAATCAGATCCCTCGATAATCAGCTGCGACATTAGTACTCAGACTTTCCCTATCAATGGCAGCTAAAAACCGACCTCGCACACTTCCTTCTCTGGGACGCCCCGCAGAATGCCGTAAAACTCCAGATGTTCTCGGCCAGTCAGCAGATCACTGATGGCATCAAACTGCGGACAGTAGCCCATATTCTGATGCACTTCATCGATCTCTGTCAGCACGCTGCAGAAAACAAGCCAAGAGTTTGGTACTATTATGAAAAGGGTCATGAAACACATTTTTGAAATGTTATGTAAGATGTTTTTTAGGGATGCACTAGCATATCAATGACCTCTAAGTCACAAAAACTCCTGTGTTTAAAGTATTACTGTTTTAATTTTTGTACCTCTTTCCTGCCAAGTAGGCCTCTCCGCTAGTGACAACAGAATCTCCTGTGAGCATTTTGAAGGTGCTTGTCTTTCCAGCTCCGTTCACGCCGAGCAACCCAAAACACTGACGAAAGAACATAATATCATCAAAACCCTAACCAGCATCAGTTTATTCTAATCATACAAGACCAGGCTGAACTAAACAAACAAACCAAAAAAAATATTGTTTATTTACTAAGAAGACAGATAGCTGATCTCACCTCTCCTGGTGGGATGCCCACACACAGTCTGTCTACAGCTGGCTTCTGCTTTCGCTTATAAACCTGCAGAATGAGAAATATTATTATATATATTATTATAACAGAACAACAACACTGAGATATATATGTATATATACACGTACATACACACACACACATATATATATAATTGCAAATGTATTTATTAATATATATGAATTGTGTATATAATTTATGATTATTTATGTTTTATTTATTTAACATATACATATAATAAATGAAACTGTATGTAGACGGAATCTATATATAGGGGCGTTTCCTATGGGAGGCAATGCCTCCTCAAAATATTGGATGAGAAAACATTTGTAGTACAAAAATAAAACAACGCAAATATTACAAAATATAACATTAAAAAGTGTATAAATCACTCATTTTTCTAAAGAAACATTGTCCAACAGTGACACCAGCAGGTAGAGTTACAGCAGGAGTCCGTGTCTCTCTCGCCTCCCCTGAGCCCATTGAGTTTTAACAGACCCCCTAAAGCGTGCTGTGAGTTTGGTGGGGGGTAATTGAGAATGAATGGGGGAAAATCACGTGAGAGGAGGAAATGCCTCCATCATGATATGATTGGATCTGACTGGTTATGTTCGGCTGTGATTGGTTCATGCGATAAATCCCGTCTCGTGTTCATGCGCGTTCCGCGTTCGCGAATCAGTCTGAATGCACAATATGGCATTAATGTGAATACTAATTTAAAAAGTAAATAAACAACTCACACACTTAGATATAAGCACTTTGTTGGCATAAAAACATGTTCTGTGCGAGTTTTTAGTGAGTAATCAGCTTGGTGAAATTTAGAGTAAATATCCGTGTCTGTGACCAATATTTACCAAGCTTTGATGACCGAAGATCTGAAAAATTCAAAAATAGTTAAAAGGTAACTATTAAAAAGAATAGCTGAACATAAGTTCACAAATATAATATATTATTTAAATTGTTACTGCCTTGAGTTATTATTTTGGAATAAATGTAAAATGCTTAAAAACACTAACTTGATGAGATTCATACTTGGCTTTATTAAACGGAATATCGATTACATTGTTAATATAAAAATATATATGTTTTTTTCTTTTTCTGATAGTATAAGTAATTTTTATTTAACCAAGAAAATGTGACTGGGATATGAATTTACATTTGATAAAAAAAATTTAAAAAAACTTTGCCTCCTCATTTCAGAACACCACCACACACTACTTACAGATAGATAGATAGATAGATAGATAGATACTGTAATAAAATAATATAGAAAATCTAGAAAATAATATTTACAGTTATTTTAGAATTTATTAATATTTTAACTTTTTTATTTCACATATAATGAATGAATCTCCATGTACATGGATTCTGCTATAAATTAATTAATCAATTAATAACACTAATACTATACACACACAAACACACACACACACACACACACACACATGCATTAACTGTAATAAAATAAATATATAAAAAAATATATATAGAACACACCTTGGTGAGCTGTTTGAGCTCCAGGATATCAGTGTGTCCTCCTCCGCTCAAGATCCTCTGCCTCTCTCTGGCCACATCCTCATCCTCCTCTCCGATCGGCTTCAGCTTAGTGCTGACCGGCCTATTAATACCAAAACAGATCATTTATTACATGCATTTAAAACAGATTTTACTTGTATTTAAAACATTTTTGCATAGTGAGGCATGAAAGGATCATCACCTGGCCTTGATGCAGAAACGGTACTGGATAAGGACGGTGATGCAGAAGAAAATCACGCCCTCTACGGCCATGGCAAAGAGATTCTTGCCCACCATGTCCCACGCCAGAGGAGAGCGGAATCGATTCTCACCTGAAAACATTCAGAAACAACATGTCAGATGTTGCAGACCCAGAGGTCATGCACAACTGATTTAAATGGCTGAGGTAAAGACATAATACTCTAACAAGCATAAAAATACACAGAACACACAAATATGGGTTAAATATTTTCAATTTTCAGTCAGAGTTTAATTAGACTGAACTATTTTTATCAATATTTTTCGGTACTGAATGAATTATATGTTAAAAATGCTTTTGAAATCCTTGCCTACGTAGGCACATCACTAGGTTTTGGAAACAAGCCAAGGGACGGTGATGCAGAAGAAAATCACGCCCTCTACGGCCATGGCAAAGAGATTCTTGCCCACCATGTCCCACGCCAGAGGAGAGCGGAATCGATTCTCACCTGAAAACATTCAGAAACAACATGTCAGATGTTGCAGACCCAGAGGTCATGCACAACTGATTTAAATGGCTGAGGTAAAGACATAATACTCTAACAAGCATAAAAATACACAGAACACACAAATATGGGTTAAATATTTTCAATTTTCAGTCAGAGTTTAATTAGACTGAACTATTTTTATCAATATTTTTCGGTACTGAATGAATTATATGTTAAAAACGCTTTTGAAATCCTTGCCTACGTAGGCACATCACTAGGTTTTGAAAACAAGCCAAGATCTACAGACTAAATTTTGCTTCATTCGGCCCTGATGTCTTTCTTAGAATGTGATTATGTTCAGAGGAAAACATGTTTGAGCAGCTACAGTCCTAATGCATTTCCATGGAAATAATCCAGGACATGTTATGTCCATAACTAGATGTCACTTTGACCCGGGGCCCCTAACCAAATCAACATCACCAATTATTTAAACAATATCTGGGGAAAAACACTTTCAACTCCCTGTTCGGTTAGGGTGGAAATTCTAAATGAACATTCTAAAAAGAACATTTCAATTAGGATTTGATTAGTTATTTTGAATAGTGTATTTGTGAGAATGGTACACACCAAATCTCTCCAGAGCATCAGCCATAGCTTGATTCTTCACCATGTCAATCAGACCTCTGCCCAGACAGAAGTGAGGGAAGATCAGGAACACGTTCTTCAAGATGTCGTTGATGCCACCAATCTCCTGGAAAACAATGAGTAGAAACAGCCACAGTTCATTTAGGGTTTCTTTTGAGTTAGATTACATTACTTTATAAGACGTATAATCAAGCACAGCTGTGAAACATGAACTTACGTTGCTGCCGAAAAGCTCCAGGACAAACGTGGACACACTGCCATTTATCCCAATGAGGATGTTAACGCTGGTCAAAACCACATACGCTGTACTGGGAATCTTAAAGAAGAATGATGCTGGGTACATCAGGGGTGTTATGGACCACCTAGACGGACACAAAGAAATGCACATGGCCAATGCTTTCATATAGTGACATATTTTTGGAGATATCATACATGTAGTCTATAAAAGTCTGCTAAAGTTTGGGGTCGGTAAGATTTTTCTAAAGAAGTCTCCTATGCTCAGCAAGGCTGCATTTGTTTGATGAAAAATACAGAAAGTTCAAAAGACAATTTTTTTAAATAGAAATATTTGTAACATTATAAATGTCTTTTCTGACACTTTTGATCAATCTAATGCATCCTTGCTGAATAAAAGTAGTGCATACTACATAGTAAGGGCTACTAGACAGATTTTTTGCCTCTTACCCATAGAGCAACAGCAGGAGGGCAAGAACAGGAAGATTGGTAGAGGACACGTAGGCCTCTTGCTGGAAACAGACGAAGATGATGATGACCAGGGTCGCTGGGACAATGTAGTTGCACTGAAGGACAAAGATGCAATCAGTCAAATGGCATTTGAACAGATACTGACACATTTAGAGTAAGAACATTTTACAAGATCCTCACCATGTCCCACACAAAGTTGGCCAGCCAGTAGAGGAAGGGCTGCACTCCACTGATGAACTGCATGTGTTTGGCTTTATTCACTCTCTCCTGGATGAGGAACACCACAAAGCTGGCCGGGACGAAGGACATGGCGAAGATGACACAGATGGACACCAGCACGTCGACTGAGGTCGTCATTCTGGGAAGCAGATGGGGTCAAAGGTCAGAGATATCAAGACTGTTTGGGTAAATGGAGTGGAGCATGAACTGCACTCATGGTTACTTACAATGCCACCTGTGAGATCTGCTCTTTGGTGAGGTTGAGTGGATGGTTGAACGCTTTGATGCCGAATTTAGACCGATCCAGGCCGGGGGGCAGATTAGCACGCAGGACGGCATTGTTCATGACATTGAGGAACCGCACACACACACACACACACACATACATATATATATAATTTTATTATTATTGTAAGTTATTTATGTACTTGTATTTCTTCATTAAATAATATAGATAGTTAGTTATATATTATTATTATTTAAAAATCAATAATATTAGTCATTGTAGACCCAAAACAGGGACATAAATACCTCAAAAAAACCTATTTATAGGTTATAACTTACTTAAGTTTAGCCGATTTTCTACTGGACAATAACTAAAGCTGTGCATAAATAGTGTTAACACTGCCAGGAAATCTACTTATGGATTAATTGCACTAAGATACGTTTACATAATCAAGTACTTGTAAGTCTTGTAAAGTCTTTATTTCACAACTTGTATAAAGCTTTCATCATGACTATGACAAACATGACATGTACTGTATGTCTGTATGGTCAGGCAAACACATCCAGTCAGAATGTAGTGTACTCACCTTCACATTGTTCTTGGTATCGAGACCTCGGATAAAAGTCGACAGGCTTGCCAGAAAGCGGTCAGCTGCGGTTCCCTGCGGGTTGCAAAATTAAAAACGGGGTTAAGGCAGGTAAATCCCAAACATTTGGCAACAACTGCTTTCATGTTTATGAGCCCTTGCTGGTGTTTAAACATCAGTCATAAACGTAACGCAGGTGACATACCGCTTGAAGACTGAAGCGGTTACGAATGTGAGAGATGGCATCAGTGATCTCATCACCAGAGGGGAGGGCCTGTGAGTTTCTCGCACCCAATGAGAATCCACCATACCTGTAAAACAGCCAATGAGAAAGAGATTTGAGGCCCAGCTCTTCCACTGGATTATTATTACTTTCCTCATCATACCAGATCTGAACTGATAGGTATACCTGAATTCGTTGACCCAGAGCTTGTTCTTCAAGCTGAAAAGACAAAACAACCCAATAAAGAGTTAAAGTGCTGCCATGAGAATGAAAAAAAAGGATTAACAAGCAAGCCTTTATTTCTGGATTGGCTTAACTCACCTTTTCCCAATAATCTGTGCATATGTTTTCACCAAGTAGTCTGAAATGTTTCTGCCTGTCAGATTCTGCAAGGTTTCATCAGCGGTGACTTTGATCTAAGGAAAATTAGAAGAGAAGTTCAATGAACACAATGTCATGCTGTCGTTGAAACATAATTATGTAATATTAAATAATATTGTTATAGAAGTACAATATTTGGTGAATATATCTACCTGAGGCGGTGGCAGACCACCTGCTCCTGGCGGACACTCCGGAAGCATCTTTTTCCTTCCTTCACAACTGCACTCACACAGAGGCGATGGGTTTTCCATACTCCAGTTCCCTTTTAGGAATATGTCCTGAACGGTCTCAGGAACCTCTGGAACCATCCACTCTCCATCTTTAATCGCACATGATTTGCTACTGCTCACACACACACACACACACATTTAATTCCCCCAAATTTTTAAAAACTTATTGGATACTCAAATATACGGGAGCCTGTTTCCGCCACAAAAAATAAAAAATAGGCAATTGCAACTTTTTATCTTACAATTCGAACTTTTTTCTCACATTTGCGTAATATATAAAAATGCAATTGCGAGTTATAGAGTCAGAATTGTGGGATATAAACTTGCAATTGCGAGAATTTACATCTTGCAATTCTGACTTTTTTCTCGCAATGCTGACTTCTTTTCTCAGAATTGTGAGATATCAATTGCAAGTTTTAAAGTCCAATATTTTCTTAAAATTGTGAGTTTATATCTCACAATTCTGACTTTATAAATCACAATTGCATTTAAACTCGCAATTCTGACTTCTATTTTTTTTCTCAGAATTGTGACTTTATATCAAGCAATTCTGACTTCATAAATATCTTGAAATCGCAGTCGCAATTACCTTTTTTATTTTTATTCAGTGGCGGAAACAAGCTTCCATCAAGTTATTTTTTTTAATTACAGGAATTTTCATAGTTGATTGTCATAAGAATATTTTAGATGCGAATGTTTTCATTAACATTTTTATATTAATATTTTAAATTTACAACAGAGCAATATGGGAAAAAGCTTTGAGGGCTTACACAGTGTTTTGCTCATCTTTGCATTGTTCGTTGTAAGCCGGATTGTCCATCAGAGCTTCAAGTAACTTGTTTGTGTGTCTGTCCTCTGGCGCATCATTGCTGTAGTGAAAAACCAATCATTAGACTCTCAAAGAATCATGGGAATTAAAGTGCAGGCTCAAGTGAGTGGATGGTAGCGTGTACCTGATGAAGGAGAACTGCTCCTCATACATGCTGGGCTCCAGAGCGAGACTGGGATACTTTCCGAATGGAGGGACAATGAGACTGAAGACCAGAGCGATGCACACGAACACAGCGGGAAGCACAATCTGGAAATGTGCATTTTTAAGGACATTACATTTTAGGAACTGCAAACAGACAACATAGAAATGCTCTGTATAATATAATATGAAGACCATACCTGAGCAAAGAAACCTTTCCGGGAGCGTCGGGCGTACAGGAAGCGTTTCCAGAGCAAAGCTACAAACTGCTGTCTCTTCAGACTCCAGCCCTTCACCTGGTACGAACCTTTACCATCAGCGCCGCCTAGCCAGTCCGTCTCACGAGATTCTGCAGGTGCACATGTAACCAAATATGAAACTAGTAATAATGTTTTCCATATTTCATGTCTTCCAGTAAATAAGCACAAGGAATAATAATGTATTTTCATTCATATGACATCATATACAAAATAAAAGTATGTATAAACCATTTTTTTATATTACATGCTTTCAAATAAAATAAACAACAACTTCAATAAAATAAAATTACAAAAAATATATATATTTTGTTTAATTGCCAAGGCAGTATTTCTGAATTTAGTTCTATATGGGAAAAAGCTTTGAGGGCTTACACAGTGTTTTGCTCATCTTTGCATTGTTCGTTGTAAGCCGGATTGTCCATCAGAGCTTCAAGTAACTTGTTTGTGTGTCTGTCCTCTGGCGCATCATTGCTGTAGTGAAAAACCAATCATTAGACTCTCAAAGAATCATGGGAATTAAAGTGCAGGCTCAAGTGAGTGGATGGTAGCGTGTACCTGATGAAGGAGAACTGCTCCTCATACATGCTGGGCTCCAGAGCGAGACTGGGATACTTTCCGAATGGAGGGACAATGAGACTGAAGACCAGAGCGATGCACACGAACACAGCGGGAAGCACAATCTGGAAATGTGCATTTTTAAGGACATTACATTTTAGGAACTGCAAACAGACAACATAGAAATGCTCTGTATAATATAATATGAAGACCATACCTGAGCAAAGAAACCTTTCCGGGAGCGTCGGGCGTACAGGAAGCGTTTCCAGAGCAAAGCTACAAACTGCTGTCTCTTCAGACTCCAGCCCTTCACCTGGTACGAACCTTTACCATCAGCGCCGCCTAGCCAGTCCGTCTCACGAGATTCTGCAGGTGCACATGTAACCAAATATGAAACTAGTAATAATGTTTTCCATATTTCATGTCTTCCAGTAAATAAGCACAAGGAATAATAATGTATTTTCATTCATATGACATCATATACAAAATAAAAATACATAGTAATAAAACTAATGAACAAATGAATCAATGAATCGGTTTCAAACTGATTTAGTACCAAGGCAGTATTTCTGAATTTAGTTCTAGTTTTAGTAAAAATACTTAAAAAAAAAAAATCTGACATAAAAATTAATAAAAACTAAAAAGACATTAAAAAACGAATAAAAACAACAAAAACAAACAACAAAATCCCTAAAACTTTAACATTTAATTGAAAACAGAACATATAAAAGTAAAAATATTTTAAAATTCTATAATAGAACATTAATGATACTAAAATAACACATCATAAAAATCTAAATGAAAATACTGTCAAAGCTCTAGAACATATATGAACTGACATAAAACTTCAACACATGAGATGATGATTCAGATTTAAATATCTAATATCTTTAAATATTTAAAGCAAGTGGGATGGATGAAGGATGGGTAAAGTAACTACCTGGATCACCTTCTGAGTCATTGAAATCAAAGTCGTCTTCAGTGAAAGGCTTCAGGCAGCTCTGATGGTCACCAAAAGCATGTCTGCGGTGCCTGCGTGCAGGTATAATCCCATCTGATCCACAACAAAATGGGAGAAACACAGTAACTCATGCGTTGCTAAAGACACTATTGCTAAATGTTTACACGAAACACTGACAACAGAGAAAGTAAAATGTGTTCGGTTTTACCTGACATCTCAGCATCAACACCATTGTCCTCTGCCACTTTGAGGAAAATCTGCTCAAAATAATCAGAAGCACAAACCAATTATATTGACTTTCTTGAACAAAATAAACTGAATTCGAATGATTTCAATAATATGTTACCTCCTCCAGGGTTGTGTCAGAGATGCCGTAGCTAGAAATGCCCAGGTCAGTGAGCCGGTCATCGATCTCATGGAAGAGCTCCACAAATGCTCCGTCTTTGGCCGACTCGTAAGGCAGAACGTAAGTGATCTCGTGCCCGAGATCTTCAACCAGTCTGGCTGTAGGAACGTGCTTGAAAATCACATTGGAGATCAGGGAGACATCTGGAATATGGAAAGAGTTGAGAAAACATTCAAAATGTGTGTATGACTAGAGCTTTGCTCCAAAACAAATAATGGGTTTGGAATAATATGGGGGTGAGCAAATAATAATTTTTGGGAGAACTACCCCTTTAAAAGTTTATTAACTCTACATATCAGTGTTATTTTAGTATTATTTATAATATTCATATTTTTAATTAGACTTAGATTTTTATATTTTTCATTTTCATTTTAAAGTGCCCCTATTATGGGTAATGAAAGGTTCATATTTTGGTTTTGGGAGTCCCCAGCAACAGGTTGACATGCATGCAAGGTCAAAAAACACTTTCATTGTCTTATAATATGCATTTATTTTTACATTATTTGCTCAACGACTCCCAAACATTAATTTAACGATTCATTTTTCCAAACCCCGCCTTTGCGTGACACTAATCTGCGGTGATTGGTCCGATTGGTCTTATTTTCATTGCATCATGCCTGTAATGCCTGATAAAGCAGCGTTTGTGAGCGCAGTACTGCTTTGTGTACAGTGTTACCGGGGAAACAGCTATATTTATCGCTTCAAAAGCTGCACCTACAATATGCTAATGTTTCATGTTGACGTCAACATGAAACGGCTTGGGATTCGTTTTAAAAACGTCTCGTTTCAATGATTCAGAGTCGACTCTTTCTTTTGAGAGACAATAACTTTATACACGGTGCACTTTCAGATTTAAAACTTTGCAGGATGTTTTCATTCACTTAGAGCTGTGTTACACACTGCATGAAAGGTAATTTTAAAAAATCCGTAATAGGGGCACTTTAATTTTAGATAAATTTTCAGTCATTTTCATATGTACTTTTGTCATTTTTATTAGTTTATTAGTCTATTTTTCTATTAAATATTTATAATTATTATAATTTAGTTTTAAATTAATTTTATTTCTAGGTTAGATTTATATATTTTTTCGTTGTCCATCTAATATTTAGTTTTAATTGATCTTAATTTCACTTTTAGTTGTAGTTATTTATTTTAGTTAGTCATTTTAGTCCTTCAGCTTAATCTCATTTCAGTTAGTTGCCAGCGCAACATTTGTCAACGCAATATTTAGTCTTATTTTATCTTTATCTCACTTTTCGTTTTAGTATTAGTTCATTTTTAGTTTTTATTTTAGTAAGTTCAGCGATTCAGCTTAAACTGAACATTTCAAATTTTTGCTTTCCATTTAATATTTAGTTTTAATTTATTATTATTTCACTTTTAATCTTTGTCCAGATTTATTTGAGTTAATAATTTTAGCGATTTAACTTGTTCCAGTTTTAGTTTTGTTAAGTTTTCCACCTAACATTTATATTAATTTAACATTATTTTAGTCCAGCTTGATTTTAATTAACAAAATAGTTAATAGTTAAAGGCACAATATGTAAGATTTTTTTTATTAAAATATCCAAAAACCACTAGAACAGTGTTATATATTTTGCTGACTTGTGTACTTACATTATCCCAAATGTTTCGAAGAATGTTTAAATCCAGAGAAATAAGCAATTTAACTAGTGACACAGAGCGAGTCCATAGTGTCATTGTGTCGCCTGCCAATGACATTTCTGCCCGAGTCCCGTCGGATTGCATCGGCTGTGGGGATGAAGACCACAACTCCCATGATTCCACACTCAGTCACGGCATCATCAAACTACGCCTTTGTCTCTTTGTTTATTTTGATTACGCGCCCTCTAGCGGCGAAAATTACATATTGTGCCTTTAACGATAATAACCCAGCTAATATACCTATGGTGGTGGTTTCACTTTCATGGTCGCTGCCCAGTCCAGCATCAGAACTGCTCTCAGATACACTGTCCTCCTGCAGAGACGATGAAAATCACAAAATATGGCACCAAGAAAACGTAAGACTGAGTCAGTAATATAAATATAGAGATTAGCAATCTACATATTAAATCTTAGTACCTTCTTGAGACTTCCTTTGGAGTAGGAGACAGTGCTGCTGGAGGTGCGGCAGGAGCTTGAGGAGAGATCGAAGTCCTTCTTCACCAGCGTCAGGTAGTATCCCGTCCCCAGCTGGGTCTTGAGGAACAGAGAGGAGCCCACACAGCACAGCTTCCCGTGGGAGATGATAGCAATGCGATCCCCCAGGATATCAGCTTCGTCCATGTGGTGGGTGGACAGGATGATGGTGCGTCCTAGAGGTAAAACCATACGGTTTAATGGACGTTTCAGGAAGACCAACACGACGGTGCTCGCTAAAACAGAATCTGCTTACCTTGACGATACTTGAGCAGCAGGTCCCAGATGCCCCGGCGAGCGTAAGGATCGACTCCAGCTGTGGGCTCATCCAGGATCACGACCTTTGACCCTCCAACAAACGCCAGCGCTACTGATAACTTCCTCTGCATTCCTCCTGTAAGGACCAGAATGACTGTTCATTCATTCTAGTCACAGTATACGAGTAATTTTATACCACAATATAGTTTTTTTTGCTGATAAATCAACAAAAATGGTTCATAGACTACTGTGCAAAAATTTGGGGTCAGCAAGACTTTTTTTTTTTTTTAAGAATTTACTATTTTTTGAAAGAAGTTATATGAATTTTATTTAGTAAGGATGCATTAAATTGATCAACAGTAACAGTAAAAGCATTTGTAATTTAACAAAAAGAATTCTATTTCAAACAAATGCTGTTTTTTAAACTTTCTATTCAACGAATCACAGAAACATTAATCAGCACAGCTGTTTTCATTGATAATAATCAGAAATGTCTCTTGAGCAGCAAATCAGCATATTAGAATGATTTCTGAAGGATCATGTGACACTGAAGACTGGAGTAATGATGCTGAAAATTCAGCTTTGAATCACGGGAATAAATTGCATTTTAAAATATATTCAAATAGAAAACTGTAATTTTGAATTGTAATAATATTTCACAATATTTCCGTACCCGAGAGCTGGCTGGTTCGAGATTTGCGTTTATGAGGCAGGCCGAGGTCCATCACGATCTGCTCCATCTCTGATTTCACCTTCTCCTCAGGCAAACCCTTCAGACGTGCATAAAACCAGATGTGCTCCTCCACGGTGAGCCTAGAATACATGCACGAGAACATTAGATTTAGAGCTGCTATTATTCATGTCGCATACACTTTTTTTAGTTGCCAACGTACATGCTAAACAGGACGTTATGCTGCGGACACATGCCCAGGTTTTGACGAATAGTGTTCAGATTGGTGCGGATGTCTTTGCCCTGGATGTAAGCGGTGCCGGAGGTGGGTGGAAACAGGCCAGTGAGGATAGACCTAAGAAAGCAAGAAATATTGATCTTATCTTAATATCATCACAGTATTAACATCAGACATAAAAAGATCTTGTGCTGAGTTGTCGTACATGGTTGTGGTTTTCCCAGCGCCGTTGTGCCCCAGGAAGGAGGTGATCTGACCCTCATAAAAACCCAGAGTCAAACCATCCACTGCCAGTTTGCCGTTGCTGTAGACCTTCACCAGGTTCTCGATGTAAACACCTGGATCCAGATGGGCCGGTTCTTCTTCAATGCATACAGCTAAAAAAATCGATCAAACCGCACATTTGAGTCTTTACACTAAATATTTAGATTTTACATGTCCACTAGCGTAAATTAGAGCTTTCTAGGAAATTAATCCGTACAATATAAATATAATATATTATTTAAATGCGCATATGTATTGAAATTGAAATCGAGAATTGTAAAATTTAATTTGTATCTAAAATATTGGTGTCATATAAGCTTATTTATTAGAATACAAGATAACAAAACAAAAACAATAATAAAGGCAACCATTTAATTTTTTTTCAGTGAAAATGTTGGCAGGGCAAGTAATAATTTGAACCACTGGCCTGACCTGCGTTGAGCCCTGGGTACTACCTTTCCATCAATTCAGCTTCTGCACTATAGATCATCTCATTTTCCACACAGATTGTATTAGCACATGCATTAGTATGAGATGTTTGGCCGTAGCTTTGGGGACTGCAGCAACTCTAGCATTGCATTACTACGGTGTCGCTGGTCCTTGGCTCACGTCCAGCCTACTACAGCAGATCTGTTTGCCACCTCTCTATTCCCATCCTTGCAGCATGGAGACCATAAGGATATGCCTCAACATTTAGCCTAAGTACTGTCCTAAGTGATGCATTTACTTTGAGTGCTAAATAGGATACAGAACAGTGTAAGAATAAATGCTTTCTTGAAGACCAGAATAGTCTAATATAATATATTATTTAAATGCGCATATATATATATATATATATATATATATACTTTTTTTTTCAAATCTTAGACGTTAGATACCTTCAGCATTTTCTTTCTTGTTGGTCGGCGTTGTTGTAATCCAACCACATTTCTCTCCACACCAGTATGACTTGGTGAAAGGGAAATACCAGGGTCGTGGGATGCCATATTGACCTGTTAGAGAGATGTTTTTACATCATGAGAAACTTCCCAAAGCCGTACAGTGTCTTGCAAGTACACCTTTTCAAAAAGCCACTTACCTGGAAACACAGCTTCAATGTACCAGGTCATGATGGCGTACAGTACAGAATCGAAGAGCATGAGCGAGATGGAAGTGGTGAGAAGCAAAGGTCAGGGGTGTAAAAATGTAAAAAAATAAATAAAAAATTTAAAATAAGATGAAAATAAATAATAAAAATTTATTAAAATAATAAAAGTAAAAAATAAATAGATTAAAATAAATAAATAAAAATTTGAATTTAACTTGAAAAACGATAAATAAATGCATAAAACGCAGCTTAAACAAAACAAAATAAATCGTTTGATTCAAATAACTAAAAATTAAATAATAAAAAGATTAAAATAATACAAAAAAATTATAAAAGTGTAACAAATAAATAAACAAACATAAGATTAAAATAATATTAAATTAAATATATAAAAAATTTGATTCAAATAAATAAATGAATAAATAATAAATGAAAAAAAATAGATTAAAATAACAAAATAATAATAGCTAAAATTAAATACAATTTGATTACAATAATAAAATATATTTAAATAAATAAATACATTTGATTAACATAACTATGCAAAAAAGATAAATATAAATAAAAAAAATGTTTGATTGAAATAAATAAATTAATAAATAATACACCTACAGTACTACAATTAGTACAAAAAAATTATAATTAAGACATCTTTATAATCTAAAAAAATTTCACAGTATAAACTGGGTCTTTATAAAACTATACAAACTATATTGATGCTTCACACAAGGATGAACAAATTTGGAGGTAAAATGCATCTAAAAGACCCCTGGCATTGAGTAATTGCAAAAGGCAAAGCAATTGACATTTACAAATAACATTCACACTCACCACTACTACTTTGGCGCCAAAGCCGATGTAATCCTGCCAGGCCACGCAAAGCACATAGGGAAGATAGAGGGTGAAGTATATGATGCCCCCGCAGGCCGCGGCGAGGTTAGCGCGGGAGAAGAGCGTGCTGATCAAGAAACACTGCATGATGGTCACAACGGCAAAGGAGGCCAGGAACAAGTAGACTACACCAGGATCACTGTACGGCAAGAGATTCCCCATCTGAACAAAACATGAGAAACAAAACCAAGTTAAATTGTTGTTAGGCTTATATTTTTATATCAGTCTGTGGCAATACATACCTTCAGGATGAGCACCAGTAGGGCGGCGCTGATGAGCAGTGGGATCAGACTACTGATGAACCAGCTCAGCCACAAGATGCCATTATCCAAACCCATAATCCTCATGGTCTCCTTGAGCCGTGCTTCCTTCTCATACACCACACCCTTAATGATGATGGCCACCGAGTACATCCAGGCCAGAGTCATGAACAGAGGCATGGAGCGGCTCATTACCTGCAGGAAGCTAGGGCAGAGCAGACAGGATGGGTTAGACCTTCAGCATGAAGATAAATGATTTAGTATGTCTGTTTCATAAGATATCTAGATAAGATACCTAGTTTTGGGCAAAAGCAACATCATGTGTATCTCATAATTTCATAATGCACTGAAATAAGTTCAGTGTAGTTAATAATTAAGCATTTGACCCAGTATGTGTTTGTATGCTTATTATAATATCACATTCTTAGCTTGGCAACATGCTAATGCCAAACTGTACTGAAATCAATCAAATAGCACACCAAATTTACTTCAGTTGGTATAAGATAACTTAGTAGTCGGCTGACTTTAAATGCATTAGACCAGGAGTTTTCAAACTTTGATTGCTAGGGAAAATTTTGCATAAAATTTGCATAAAATAAAAACAGCATAAAAATTTTTAAAAAAATAATAATAATAATAAATCATAAAAAGGATTAAACTAAATAAATAAAAAATGGATTAAAATAAATAAATAATTAGATATAAATAAATAATATAAATATTTTTTAACTTTAAAGTAAAAAAAAAAATGGACAGACTTAGAATTAAATACATTAACAAATAAATAACAACAATTTGAATAAAATAAATAAATAATATAATAAAATAAATACAAATGAGATTAAAGTAAAATTAATAAAAATGTATTCAAATTTAAATAAATAAACAAATAATAACACCAATTTTATAAAAAATTATAAATAAATAAATACTACAAATTAGACTTATTAAATAAATAAATACATTTTGATTTAAATAAATACATAATACAGCTAACAATACTATAGTGAGCAGCCAAAACCCATAATTTAATATAACAGTAAATAAATACTTTTTAAATAACATTTTAAACATATTTATAATATAAATTTTTCACATAATTTGAAAATACACATGAATATATATAGCTGCCTTTTTAGGATTTTAGGATGGGGATACCTTGCACGAGAATGATCATATTTAGGAATGTGAAAAGATATGCATCTAAAAGATTGAAAACTCTTGCATAAGACAGCAATGCAGCTCAGCACAGAGCTTAATTGTTACCGATTTGATTTTGTATGAAACAGTGAATGCGACCTGATCATGAATGCACAGAATTGAATTAAATTTAAAGACTGTTGAATGCGGTTTCTTACATGTCGTCCACATAGCAGGGATAAGGCATCTGCTGGATGTAAACTCCCGTTTTCTCCTTGCTGCCGGTCAGAGCTCGTATGATCCCGTGTTCAATCACGTCCTGCAGGTAGGAGAAGCCGCCCCAAATATAGCGCAGGTCTTCAAACGGGTCCGCTCGAGGACCGGGATCCCAGTACCTACAGCGAAACACAACCATCAGCTCTCAAAGACTTCAGTTAAAATTCTGTTCCTTTTCTCTATAAGCACACATTTGTAGCATATTTATAAAAACGTATGTCTCCTACCCGTCCTTGATCTTGTTGGTGCGCTCCACGTTATCGATGTCCATGCGGATCTTGTAGTTGACGTTGGGCGGCAGGTCAGACGTGTTGGCCTGCATGTCAGGAAACACTATCCCAGCCCAAAACTTGCGGTCATCCAGCAGATGCATGGACTTGTTTACCAAACGCTCCTCATTAGCCACAGGCTCCAGCTTATCCAAGTTCACACACTTCAGGGGAGAATAAAAATAAACAGTTTATCGGAAAGAAGTCGGGGTCAGGTTGACTGAATGATGTAATTCTGTTAATCCAAAAAATCTGGGGCAATTTACACGATTATTTAATGAAATAATCAGTCAGTTCAGCTGACATTGAACTGGCATGACCTGCCTTGGTGGCTTGCTTTTGGATTGCAGCATATTTGATTTGTTACTGTAATTTAGTGGAGAACTGAGAAGTTATTTTTTTATAGTCTGACCGGGCGACACACTGACCCAGAAAAATAAGACATGAACTGAAAACAAATTCAGCTTTCTTAGAACCATTTAATTGATTAGCAGAGATCATAAGATGCCCACATAATACTGTTTACTTCAGTTGACTAGACATTATCAGTCAAGCCAAATATAATGAACAAGCCAATCAGACCAAGCCAATGTGTTCACCTTAGAGTCAACATCAAAACTTCCTGAACGGATCTTGGTTTGTGTATACATGCGTACCTCCATGAACCGAGAGATGGTTTGGATGGCCTGATCCGTCTCATTGAACACTTCTCGCCATGTGTACGCTGACCCATGGGGACGCATGTCCTCTGAAGCCTTTGACAGAAAGCTGGACACATCCTCCACGCACCAGTCTGTCCCGCTCAGCTTGGCATTAAAGAAGCGAGAACTAGCATTGTTCTGGAGAAGGGTCTGTTTAGGAGAAATATTGACAAAACTATGTTATCATAAATTTAAAAAATAAATAAATAAATTATATATATATATATATATACAGTGCATAAGCATCAAGGCTCTGGATTATCATTTTGTTGGACTGTATATACACTTCCAACACACTAGGATCCTTTAGGGCTGCTTTAGGGTGTGATGCAATGAACTCTTCGCTTTTAACAGCCTACATTTTCCTGCTTTTATTGTGTTGTTTTAAAGATGAATGAGGATATTATAAATGCAACATTCTTATCTCTATCTCTGTTGTATTCTTTTAACAGCCACAACCTCACATAGTACGATCTGACCCTGTTTCTACATAGCTAACATCAGCCGGTTTGGAGAGACCTGACCTGTGTGGAGGGAGCTGCTGTACTCACTGCACTCAGCTGTGTTGAAGCTGTTGAAGCTGCTTTGTAAAGATGTGAACGGAAAACCACCAAATTGTCAATATAGGCTATTTTAATATATTGCTTTTCAATTAGGCCCATCATATATAGATTTAATATGCAATTAATTCACATATAAAGTGTATTACTGGTAAAAGCAGTGTTGTGGCAAATTATAAGTAAGTTATCTTATGATGTTATGTTTGTGGGTCTATTGCTGATTGTCTATACTCTCCTGACTAACTTGTCCAGTCTTAAGGTCATCATGTGTTGTCGTATCATCTCTGTTGTCTGTGTTAGCTGCGGGTGTGATGATAGTCTCTTCCACAGTCCGTACCACAGCAAACCTAGAGCTGCCATTAGAACCATCACCAACAATTATTTTGTCCTGTGGTTTCTCATTTAAAGTGGCTTCATCAGTCTTCTGGTTCTCTGGGCTGCTCTCTCTCAGAGTCTCCTGTAACTGACTCCCACAGGCTTTATTTGAGTTTTCATCTAAAGCGGTTTTGGTGGGATCTGTGGGAGACGCTGCACCAGAGCTCCAGCATTCAGATAACTGATCGGCGGTGCTCGACTCCTCCTTGTCCTCCACAAACACCTCCTGTCCTGCTTTAGTCTCCACAGCATTACCAGCCTTATAGAAGCCCAGCAGTGTCACGCTTTTCTTGCATTTGCCGAGGTTCGGGACTTTGCCTTTCACGGCTCCAGCTTCTTTGAACATGTTGCGGATGTTATATTCCTCCTGAGGTTTTTTGGAAGTGTCTTTATTACCCGTCCTGCTGTCTGAGATTGTTGTGTCATTCGATGTGTTTCCAGGCTTATAACACACTTATACTTCAATTAGAATTAATTAATATTATAAAGATGCCTAAAATATTATTTGAAAAACATTTATTTCCTATTAAATTTAAATATTCAGTTTTTTTCTACTCATTAATGCACTGTACTGTTAGATGTATTGTCATTTATTTTAATCTTTTTTTTTTCCCTGGTACTATAAATTAGTGCATCAATATATATATTGTATTACACACATATCCAAGTGGATTAATAAATGTAAACAAAAACAATGTTAACAAAATCATCAATCAAAAAATCAAAATCAAAATGTATATCATAATTAAAATATATATATATTACACACTCTACACACTCAAAAACTAGTATTATAAAGATGTCTAAAATATTATTTGTAAAAAATGTATTTTCTATTAAGTTCAATTATTTTTTTCTATTTCTACTAAGTTAAATGATTAAAAAATATGTTTTTTTCCTACTCAGTATTTTACTTTACTGTTAAATGTTTTGTTTTTTTTGTTTTTTTTTATTTAGTTTCATGTATTATTTATTTTGTTGTTTTTCAGCACGACCTTGCATGAAAGTCATGCACATAGCAATGTGACAAGGAGTTATGTATTTTGTGACAACAAAACAACTAACGTAATACAATTTTTCATAAGTTTAGTCACAAATAGGTCCTCAGAATTCTCCAAGGATATGAAGATCTCCAGTAATAAGTGTGTGTCCTGCAGTGCACCACACGTTGTGTGCCATGTGAGTTCAGTAGTGAGGTTAGAATGCAGTATGGCTTATGTCCAAGAGGTGGCAGTGTGAAGTTCACCATCTGAGCTTCTAGTAGCACAAAATCATGTGCTCGGGGGCGAGCGACTAACAGGAACAGTGTCTTTTGTTTTAGGAAGGTTATCTGCTTTCAGAAAGATGTGTGTCTGTGTGTGTGTGTGTGTGTGTGACGTACCCGAACGAGGTCCATCTCCTCACTGTTCTCCATAAAGTTCCAGATTTTAGGTCTCATCTCTTCCCACATGCCGCCGAGATCCCTTATCACGCCGAACTCCTGAAACGTCTTATTGACCTGAGAGAAACAGAGAGACAGTATGATACTCCCCTAGATCGAGGTCCTCAGGGTACAGCTAGAGATTGCTGGACTGATATATATATATAAAGAGATATACAAAATTTATAAAAATATTGTATATATTATATGTCAGAAATTTGCTCAAATGTGGACATATTTGTCAGAATTTATATTTCTCATGATCTTCAAAACCTTTTGATCTACATGTTTCTGCTTAAATTACTTTTGTAGATTAATATAAATTAAGTCCACATATTATGCAATTACATGAAATTAAGTTAAAATATAAGTTTTGATTTGTTTAACATGCTTCAGTCACTACATATTCCTTTATTGCCATTTTCTGTTATTTCACTTTTGTTATTGTTAACTAATACTAAAACTATTTTTAAAAAAATTAGTTTTCGTTAATTGAAATAAAGCCTAAATAAAATATAATCTAAATATTAGATGAAAAACGTACACTTGAAAAATGTAAACTTAAACAACTTAAATGAAAAATGTAAAAAATTTGCCTTGGCAGCTAACTGAAATAAAATAAATATAATCAAAAATACAATTTTGAAGTTACTAAACTAAAATGACTAAAATGACAAAAAATAAGCTAAACAAAAACTAGCTAAATAATAAATAAATAAATAAATAACACTACAAAATTATTAAAACTTGAACTAAAATTTAAATGAAAACATAAAAAATTAAAGCTACTTCAAATTATTAATAAATACTATAATACTGTAAATACTAATAAAGTCAGACTGGTTCTGATGACTTTACAATAATAAAAACAAAAAAACAGTAATAATACAGAATGAGTATGTGTGTTCATGTCTTACAGAAACCTGGGCCACACTAGTTTAGCATGATTAGTTTTACTCATAAGCGTCTCCTGACCTCTTGTATGATCCTCTGGGTGGCAGGAGTGTCTGGGGTGTACAAGATCTTCCCCATGAGCAGTGGCTTCAGAGCCCTCCAGATCATGCGGGATATGGGACTCGACTCCAGGCCCTTCATCATGCTGTTGCAGTAGGGTGCTAAAGAAAAGAGGTTTTTCAACAATTTAGCAGGGTCTGTGAAATATTTAGCATTTGTAAGTGAGGGAAAAGAGAGAAATACAGCTTTGCTTACTGGAGGAGTTGTCGTAAACGGAGACGGGTTCGCTATCGCTGTCGTTGCCATAGTTACCGAACAGGGCCTTGTAGTTGTTGTCCTCGTACCAGTTGAGGGACTTGATCTTCAGGCCCCCGCCCTCCGGGTGACCGCAGACGATGCGGGACACGGCCTGGTACATGTGCTTGGGGGACTGCGTGCTGTTGCCCGTCAGGTACAGGATCTCGTTGCGCATGTCCCGCCAGCTCTTCATACTCACAAGCTGAGAAATAATGGGAGAAATCAAAAAAGAGAGTCAAAAAATGGTCCTTGATTTTCAGTATAAATCGAAAAGTATGCTGTTGGTAGGATTTTTTTGGCTGCATTTATTTGATCAAAAATGGTAATATTGTGGAATATTATTACCATTTAAAATAGCTGTTTTCTATTGTAATATATTGTAAAATGTAATTTATTCCTGTGATATTAAAGCTGAATTTTCAGCATCATTACTCCAGTCTTCAGTGTCACATGATCCTTCAGAAATCATTCTAATATGCTGATTTGCTGCTCAAGAAACATTTCTTATACACATTAACGTATACATTAACAATAAATATCAGTATTTACTTCTGGAACCCAGTTGTCTTTTATATGATTTATTATAGATTTAAAATGAAAAAATATTGAAAATGCGACAAGACACGGGGCAAGCATAAGCGAAGAACTGCGTGATCATCAAACGTCACAAAACGTTTGCTTATGCTAAAGCACTGCTTAAAACTGTTTGTCTGACGTCGAGAAAAGCTCATTTAAACACCCCAGCACCCTGGATTGTGTTTATTCAGTTCTCTCAAAGTACGTCATTCATTGTTAGAGCTGCTTCAGGAAAGAGCGAGACAAATATTCATTTTAAAACTCACTATCCGTTACATGATCTTGTTTGAAAGTAACCTCCATGTCTTGTTCTTGAGTCTTAAAGTGTGCAGTGCAGTCCACGTGCCTGCCTGCATTTGGGACATTATACCTCTATGTGTCAGAGGGTGTCATTATTATGTGTTGTCACTGTCAGCTGAAGGGTGTTACCGATGCTGACTAAACCCAAACATAATAATAATAATAATACAGAAACATGCTCATTTCTCCTGGATGTCTGAATTGTGCAGTCATTGTTCTTTATTTTTCTTATGTCATTATTTCCTCACCATTGTATGACGCATGATATATACTGTTGTTTTAATGTGAAACACAAAAAGAGAAATGTGCACATATTTCACCATTTCTAAAGCCATACAACAGCTTTGTGTGAGGATTTGCATTCACAATCTTCTCATTTGCATTCACTTTCATTGGATAACGACTTAAATTGCACTACATGACACTATCGTATGACTTAGAATATAGCGCATGGACCACTGTAATGATGCTTTAATGGTTATGCTTTTAATACTTCTTAGAAACTTGAGAGAATATTCATTAAAAATTCATTTTGCATTCTACGGACAAAACGGCATATACAGGTTTGAAACGACGTGAGTAAATAATGATGGTTAATTATGTTTAAAAACCTAGCAAAAGTATAAAAATAGAAGATGAATGTAAGTGTCTTCAGGGTAATCCAGAGCATGGATGGGGAATATATAGGAGTTTATGAAAACTGTATCTTGTGCCACTTGCTCGACAGCAAGCTGAACAGAGGCGCTGCTGTGACACGCTCACGCATTCCTGCTGAGGACGAGGTTACTATCGGTCATTCTCCTGATGAAACGGGAAGAGACCTCAAGAGCACAACAGATGCCCATAACTTACTTTCTTTTGTGACATTTCCATCACATTAATGGATGCATGTGGAAAAAGTTGGCTGTGAGAATTATGGTATGATGATAATGAGAGCGTTTTCATTTTATGAGGTAAATGGATGGCTTTATGTGGTGTTACATAAGCGTTTGCGTGAGTTATAGTCGGTCAGGTTTGCAAAAGATGAGTCAATATGATTCACAGGGCTGTAAACACTTTTGTCATTTGCAATTCCCAAAATCACCATCCCATCTGAGAAGCAAACAAAGAGTTTCACTGCCGAGTTAATTTGCTTATACACAAATTCCCATTCACTTCAACAGGGAATTAACTCATAAAAAATATATATTATTTATTATTATATATATTATTCATATTTATATTATATTTAATATATTAATTGAAATAAATTAAATGTGAAGTGAAATTTAAAAAAAATTTAATTGTAAAAATTTTATATTTGCAAATAAAATTAATATAAACTATATAGACATTTAAAAAAATAATACAAAAACAAAACAAAAAAACTAAAACTTTAAGGTTGACATATCATGAAAATCTGACTTTTCCAGGTTTTAAGTGCTATAATCAGGTCCCCGGTGCATCTACCAACCAAGGAAACGTGAAAAAGATTAACCCAGTAACTTTGTTTAGGAAAGCCTTTTTCTGCAAGCGTCTGAGAAAACGAGAACCTTGGTCTCATTTGCATTTAAAGAGACAGGCACGAAAAACAGCGTGTTTCTGCTTCCACTCAAAATAGGCATTTTCAAAATGATATAATAAATGATCTGTGGAGTATTGTGAGCTGAAACTTCACAGACACATTCTGGGGACACCAGAGACTTATATTACATATTGTAAAAAGGGGCATAATATGTCTCCTTTAACTAAAATTAAAATGAAAAAAGAAAATATATATTAAGAAAACTAATTCAAAATATTAATAAAAGTACCATCCATTAATTCTGCAAAGCTAATGTGCATTTTTACTGGAAGAATGAGATCAGTTCGCCCACATCATCCAGGGGTCTCATTAGGGAAGGATTCATCTGTTCCCGCTCTTGTGCATGCGATTGCTAGTCATAGAAGAGAGCTATTGTTATAGCTGTCGCCTTGTAAGCTATCTGTCTGAGGAAGCCCTGGAGGCCAGACAGACATGCAAACACGGCCGAGTAACAGGAGAAATAAAGCACGACCTGGAGTAACCTCTCTGCCGCTGGCTTTAGCGAGAGTTACTGGAGTTCAGCTCGCATGTCTGCTACACTTATGTGAGAACAAAGAGGAACTAATGCCGGTCAGGGCAGCGTTGGCGTCGACTCAATTTCTGTTTCTGTTTCAAATGATAAAACTAGGAAGAGATTGCTTGTGAGACGCATTCCCCATGAACAAATGCCCAGTGAGATGATGTGTGTCCCTGTTTCACTTCTAAAAGCAAGCTACCTCACATTTGTTGAGCTCTGCACTTTTGCCCAGTGCTGGCAGGAACCAGGAGTCTTATGATGGGCCAAACTACCGCTGCTAACTCACTTAATGCTCAGGTTTGGTTTCTAAACGCTGGACACCAAATACATGCGTAGTGGTAACACTGAGTGTACGAGCTAAAATGTCAAGTGTCAGCTCTGTGGTTTTTCTAAGGGACACAGACGTGTGGGATGCTAACCGAAATAGCTATTTATTAACAGAACTTTCTGTCCCTTTAAGCAAAACAAGTGTCTTGTTATATCTTGATTTCACTTTTAAAAATAGGGCCAAAAGGGGTTTTCACAGCGATGGTGTAGAACAGGGGTGCCAAAACTCGGTCCTGGAGGGCCGGTGTCCTGCAGAGTTTAGCTCCAGCTTGCCTCAACACACCTGCTTGGAAGATTCCATGAATTGTTAAGGTTCTTCATGGAACCATCAATGCCATTAAAGAACCTTTATTTTTAAGAGTGTTGAGGCAAAGCAAAAAGCTTCATGACTCTCATTTGTCCCAAAGCACAAAATATTAGCATTTTCAGGACTAGCATAATGCAACATTAGACATCTAAAACTAGTAATATAACCATAATTACCATTTAAACAGTCACTGATTCTTATCACATTATAGCAAGACATTTTAACCAATATTTCGGACTTGTTTTTAATCTGTTTTTGTGACTAATCCAGATCCACTGGTCTAATACGGGATGAGGACATTTGGGAAGCTGGGGGTGGGATTTCAACTCTTCACTCTGGTGTCTAGCTCGGTCCCTAAAAGTGGCCTGAGAGATATTTTGGGGGGGGCTCTTACCTCCACCGCTAATGCTCCCAAACTCTCCAGCAGACTGTCTGTTGCTATGGACACATCTTGGATAATCTTTGGGTCGGACTTGACATCTTTCTGCACGACCAAAACATAAAAAAGCCATTATTAGCTTATCAAAGTAATCATATTAATCACATTTTACTGTCAAAATTACTGTAAAAATAGCAGCTGTGGTTGCCAGAAATTCCCTTAACACTGTTTCCAGTATTATGGAATGCCTGTACATTTTATAACTTATAGCCATATATTTAATTAAGTGATATAATGTTAATATAAAAAGCCACTTTAAGTACCAAAATCTGATTTTTAGCCAAAAATGTCCTTAAGACCATCATAATAATACAGGAGGTAAATGAAAAGCAACATGATGAATTACAGCTCACAGTGAGTCGCCTGTCCATAAAACACGAACAATACTCATATATACAGTAGATTGTACACACAAAGACAAAACACCATCAGGGAAACAGACATGACAATAAAGTAATGCAATAAATATTTCCTAAATAACATAAATAAAATGATACCCAAACACCCTAATGTGCATTACTGATTACAAAAATATGAAGAAACTAAATTATTGATATACAAAACAACTATATGTGATATGTCATTTGATGGGACTTCTGGGAAAGTCCTTTTACTGATTTTCACTAAACATGGTAAGGTAACTTACAGTTAACCATTTAGCAGGTTTTTACTGTAGCATTTGTACTTTTTCTGTAAAAATTACAAACATTTTTTACAATGGAGGAAGCTACACATTAGCGTTAACATGCATTAAGCAGCTTTCAAGTCATAAACTATTAGTAGGGCAATGTAAATTAGTGTGCAAGCCACATACACTAACTCTGGACTATATTGTTGTGATTTAGGAAAAAATGTCAAAGCTCTCATTGTCCACTTGCTTTCATAACTAAATCGCAGCGCAAAGATAGCAGTGACCTGGCATCTTGAAATCTCATTACTCAAAGACAAAGAAAACATTCAGTCTAAAGCGAACATACACAAAGACATCAATATGTGAAGACTCTTGGCTGATGGCCATCGCCGTTCCCTTTTCATGCACAAATATGCTGAAATAATCATTCTGATTGGCAAAAACATATTATGTAAAAGTGACCATTATGTGACCACAATGTTGGGCTTGAAGAGAAAGTTCACTGGGTCTAAAATACAAAAATATACACTGGTCCTAGTTTGTGTGTAATTGGTTTATTGAACTGGTGGATTCCTTTGTTTATTGTAACATTTCTTGTATTATTGTAGTCCAGTAAGCAACTTTTATGTGAAATATATTGGACATAAAACACATCTTGACAAGCAATCATTAACATTTGAGTGGGCGCTTTTATTCCTGTATTCTAGTTCTTGTGATGTTGGTTAATTATGAAGTCCTATGGAAGGGATTTATTGTTTAACAGTTATATTTGCTTACCCGTATTGGCTTCAGGAAGTCCAAGTTGGACAGGAAGTGGCTCTCTGCGTTGTTCAGCCATTCAGCAGATGATTGACAGATGATGTTTTGCGTCAGCTGAGACACATCCTTATCGGCAATGGTCACAAAATCCTCCAGAGATGTGGAATTGCACAGGTCTCTGAGATGAACGCTAAAGCCTTTAATAAGCACCTGTGGATCACAAATAGCAGTTGAAACCAACTAAACAAACTCTCTGCAATCATATTTTCAAGTATGCAAGCTGCCATCTTTGTTTCAGGGGCACTTTTTAAGCCAATCATCTGAGCTATAAATGTCACGTGACTATTACACACCAGACATTTCCAATCTAATATGCTGATTGGATGATCAAGAAATATTCCTGATTATTATCAATGTTTAAAAAAAATTGTCTTTATATAAGTTGTCCCTATCAGTCGGCCTGTGTCAGTTTTCCAGGAATTGTCCTGTGGCCGTGGCTCTGCAGGGCAACAGTCATGTGACTCCCCCCACCCACCCCCTCCAGCGCACAGCAGCACATGTTCAGCTGTGCAGGACATCCGTCATCCACAGCATCTGCCCGTGACTGTCCCATCGTGTCATATCCCACCACACCAAGGTCATCTGCACGTGAGAGCGTACGGACGCATCTACCTACGGGGTTTTGAAAAACAGATCGCTTCATATCTGTATGAACCAGCGCGTTAGATAACGGTCCCAAGATAGATGACAGGCTGCAATTTAATGACTATGCCAGACGGTGTGTGAAATATTTTAAGCACTGTGTATACATGTGTGAAGGTAATTAAAGGCAACACCAGCAGGGCAAACAACATACGTTTGTGAAAAAAATCCTTGATGTCTGTTGATTTGAGGCTTTTTCAGGGGTTTTAAACAACTCATGTTGTGCAGTTCATTTACCTTCTCCAAGTTGACGTTAGCCTCCACTATCTGTATCACAGCATGCTTGGGCAGGGTAGCATTTTTCTCAAGAAACACAGACAGCGTTTCATTGTCACGGAGGAAGTCCTTCAGCTTGAACCCTAGGAGAAAAAGAAAAACCTTTAAGACTAAAAATATAAGCATGAAATACCATATTTACTTATTTAGAAAAAAATATTATGTTTTTATAATAATATAAATACATATGAATATAAATTGTCCTATTATATATATATATATATATATATATATACACACATACTGTACATACACACAAATATATATATATATATATATATATATATATATATGTGTAAAATTCAAGCTATTTGCAGATTGTATAATTTATGTTATATAATAATACATAATAATATACATAGAATAATTTATTTACATTAAATATATGTAAATTGTGCATGCAAATACTAATTTATATACTTGAGTTTGATAACATCACATCAGAATCATGCTGACTAATAAATAAATAAATATTACATAAATTATATAATACGGTTTATTAAAATATTGTTTATATGTAATATAATGTAAATCATAATTTGTATTACTTATAAAATAAATAACATAAATAATTAATAATATAAATTGTATATAAATAGTACGTTATTTAAATATTTATACATAAATTATACAAGCTATTTATGTATACAAATTTGAATCATTTATATACTTGAGTGTGATAACGTCATGTCAGAATAATGCTGACTAACACAGGTCAAATTGCTGTTTTTAATTGAATTCATTACATAAAGCAGTGATTCACAACTGAACCATGAATAATATTATTTTTAACAAAGGGTGTCATTTAGAACATTGTGAAAATTGTGACTCTACTGCAATTCCCAACTCAATGATAAAGCGAGTGAGGTAATGCAGCTGAACCATTGTGTTCGGTTACTGCTGCAGTCATGAGAGAATTGTTCATTTAGCTCTCAATTCTAAGTTCATCATGCAAGATGTCCACGGTAAAGGACAGAGGGGCAACAAAAGCCAGAAAGCAACTACAGCAGCGTTCTTCACAGAGCTCATTGTGTTGCATGTCAGAACATTCCAGAAGAGTCATTGGTTTGAACTGGTTTGAGTCAGTCTCTTTCCTCTGGGGTTACTACAGGTCATTCCCCAGCCACATCTCTGAAATCACCAGAGAACACTTTTCATCAGATGTTCTTATTGTTGCTTAACTATTCAGGACATTTTTGGAAAATGAGCTATACAAGATTTCAGGGGGGTGCAGGGTGCAGAATTTGTGTGTAAAAAAACAGTCAAAATAGCCACAAATGCTGTTGCTGGCATACACTCTTTAAAAATAATGTTCCAAAAGAGTGTCTTCACAGCGATGCCACAAAAGAACCATTTGTGGTTTCACAAAGAACCTTCTTTAAAAAAAACATGTGAAGAACATTTAAAAAAAAAGGTTTTCCACTATAAACAACCTTTTGTTTAATGGAGAGATTCCATGGATGTGAAAGGTTTTTCATCGAACCACAAAGAACCTTTAAGAGCATAGAGCAATAACATATGAGCTCAACATATAGCTCAGATCATTTGGTTCATATCTGAGAAGCAGTTTTGAAACTCATATGAAACATTTTTCCTCAGAGGACAAATCTGACAGATCTTCAGATCAGATCAAATCTCCAATGAATGCATTACTCTTCTAGAAGATAACAATTAAGATATCAAAGACATCTCATTGCGATTTTTCTTTGCTATACACTCTCAAAAGATTCCAAAGTTTTTTTTTTTTTTTGCAGCAATGCAATAGATTTTTGGTGCCCAAATAACCTTTCAGTGAACAGTTCTTCTCATAACCGTTTTTTCTAAGTGTGAAGAACATTTTATATAATATTAAAAACTTTTTTTCCACTATAAAGGACCTATTGTGGAATGGAAAGTTTCCATTGATGTTAAAGGTTCTTCATGGAACCATCAATGCAAATAAAGAACTTTTTTTTAAAGTTTAGGCATCACTTCATACAGTTTAATGACACAAGCCCCTTACAAAACCTCGGAGCAATTTTGACCAGATGGAATGAGTTATCATACCTTCTTAAAACATATTACCAGTATGCATGCACACATATGAATCGTCAGCATCTCTGTGGCATGAAATGATCATGTTTAACCATTGTGACTCTTGAGGCTTTCTAATCCACGGAGGGCAAAGCAAGCATCCTATTCCTCGCCCCAGGTGCAAACAGCAGCCCCTCCGGGAACATTAATTAAATGCTGTCAACTGTGAGTAAAAGCAACTCCCACAAGCCTCTCTCAACAACCGTTACGTTGAGTTATCTGTCTAAATAAAGGTCACAAAGTTGTCCGTTTATAAGCAAGTGTATTGTACTTGTTAGTGGCTTTTGCCAGTATTATTTCTACAAGTGGCCATATTCGGGGTTATAGAAAACTGAGCGCAAAAATAAATAAATAAATACAAAAACCATACAATCTAAAGACCAGAATATAATACAAATTTATGCAGGGCTACAATGCAACCACCTGTCAACTGCATAGCAATGCATTTAAAAGATCATAGTCATAGGCCTATTATAGAATGCTATAATAAAAACATTTTAAGCAAGAGAAAAAAAAAATGAGCAGATACTAATGACCACTTTTGTAGTCTTCAATAGTCAAAAAAATTACTAATACAGAACGTTTCTTATTTGAAGTTCAACACTGAATCTCAAATGAGGAACCACACCTAATCTGAATGTCGGACAGGAAAAAGACACACAAATCCCCCTGGTGTTTCATTGGATACACTGATGCTCATTGGGAATTAGAGTGTGGGGACTCACAACTTAAACTTAATTGCACACTGACCCCGCTAGTTATACTGAGACCGATATGAGAGTGAATAATGCTATAAAGTGGTAGCCTGACTTTAGAAACTAAAACTTGATACCAAGAGAAGAACTTATAATGAACTTTCAATGCATTTCAAATCACTCATAAGGATGCATTAAAGGGTTAGTTCACCCAAAAATGAAAATTCTGTCATTAATTACTTACCCTCGTGTTGTTCGAAACCCGTAAGACATTCGTTCACAATTTAAGATATTTTTGATTAAATCTGAGGGCTCTCTGACCCTCCCATAGACGGCAAGGTAACTACCACGTTCAAGGTCCAGAAAAATACCAAGATGCTCGACAAAGTAGTCCGTAAAGAAAACAAAAATAACGACTTTATTCCACATTTTCGCGAGCGTGTGGCGGCGCTGAACACGCGTCCAAAGTGACGCAGTAAAGACGAAAATGTGGAATAAAGTAGTTATTTTTGTTTTCTTTACGCAAAATAGTATTCTCGTAGCTTCGTAACTTTACAGTTGAACCACTGATGTCACACGGACTACTTTGTCGATCATCTTGGTACTTTTCTGGACCTTGAACGTGGTAGTTACCTTGCTGCCTGTGGGAGGGTCAGAGAGCCCTCAGATTTCATCAAAAATATCTTAAATTGTGTTCCGAAGATGAACGAAGGTCTTACGGGTTTGGAACAACACGAGGGTAATTAATGACAGAATTTTCATTTTTGGGTGAACTAACCCTTTAAAGACTTTTATCATGTTCCAAAAAGATTTATATTTCAAACGAATGTTGTTCCTTTGAACTTTATTTCATCAAAAAAAAATGTTTAAATATGCATCGTGGTTTCCAAGCAGTGCTAGAGTTTTTAACATTATAATAAAAACATGATACATTTTTTACATAATAATCAGTATATTAGAATGATTTCTGAAGGATCATGTCACATTCAAGACTGGAGTAATGATGCTGAAAATTCAGCTTTGATCACAGGAATAAATTACATTTTACAATATATTCAAATAGAATCCAGTTTTTAAAATTGTAATAATATCTCACAATATTACTGATTTTACAGTATTTTTGATCAAATAAAGCACAGCTTTGGTGATCCTAAAAGACTTCTTTCAAAAACATAAAGAAAAAAAAAATCTTATCGACTCCAAACTTTTGAATGATAATGTATGTCAGATTTTTATAGATTTATACTGTAGACAAAAATTCAAAAGTGTTATGAATGTTAATCTTTGAAGGTGTTTAAAGGTGACGTACCTTCAGTGTTTCTCTGCAGTTTTCTCAAGGCCCGGACGAGTCCTTTGAAACCTTCAAAGCTCTTGTCATGTTGGCTGTAGAGGAGAATTTTCTTGGCATCGATGAACAGTCGGGAGATGCTGTAAATTACGACAGTGACACATATATGAGGGAAACGTCTATATAAGTCTATACGAAATCTAATGCAGACTCAAAACTCAATATACTTACATGGAGTCATTGAAGTTGCCCACCACCCCGGGGGTCTCTCCAGGTGTGGGGTAGCGAAAGCAGGGGTTGTTGGCGTTGCAGATGATGCCCTGTACCCATGGTAAAGTCCCCGCAGAGGGCATGGCTTTATTGGGAAAGTGGCCTGGAAAAGGAACAATGTGTGATATTCAACACTTTTGAAGTCAACATGCCCTTTGCAACCATATAGAAATACATATCAGATGTATTTAATGCAATAAAATGAAGTTTATTTTATTTGGAGCAATGTGCACAGAATAATTATGCAACGGTTATGTATTTTACACAATCTACACACATTGACAAAATTATAGTTTGCACACACAATTCCTGGAAACATCCCTGTAGAAATGCTTTCCCTTACATAAATTCAGTTTGTTTAAAGAGCATATGTTTTCACAAACCAGGTCTACTGCAATATTTCTTCTTCTTCCTATTCTTCTGCTTCTCATTTTCTGATTTGGAACTAACTCAGAAATAGTTAACATTTAGTTATTTCAGTTCAAAGGAACTGACACAAAAAAAAAATCTGGGTTTCAGAGATCTTGTGATATATAAAATGTCATGCTGTTCTTGGAGCTGTTTTGCTGTCCTTAACCTCCCCTGGGGACTGTGTGATTTCCAAAGAGGAGCAAATATTGACACACGAATGAAGTAAGACACGGTGACAGTGTTGTATTTAAAAAGTAGTTCATACAAATAGGCTTTAAATAAAATATAATCAAAATTGAATAGACCAGACCAATAGTTGTTGAATAATTCAGAATATTTAAATATACAGTATTTATAGTGAAAGAAAGACACTATACGGCAAGAAAGACACTGGCTCAAATCTCATACAATGCATTTGCAGTTATTTTAGATTCTAAACAATCCAAAAGCAAAATAAATGCTGTTTTGGGGGTAAAAAAAAAAGAAAGATCTTAGGCCACTTACATTCATGTTGCTCGTATGGAGGATAGTGGAGTCTGACAGATATCAAGATGAAAAAGATGAAAAGTGGCCATATGATCTCGATCAGCAGCTGAATCTGGAAAAGAAAGGGCACAGTAGTGTCACATTTACTCATTTGTTCTTCATCCTGAATTGTTCTGGTTCCTGAACATCAATCTGAATTTAACAACACATATCTGCTATTCACATATCCTGAATACACCATTCTAGTGAAGTCCAGAAAATCCAGTTTTTCATGACGGTTGATGGCTTTCCTGTTGACGATCTTGTTCATTTGCTGAACCTCCTGTTCATACGTTCAGTGCCAAGTGCAAATATCATCATCATTTAATCAGCTTTTTGAAGTACATTCACTTACAGGACATTATTTCTTTAAGGGAAGGCTGATAAGAACTCTATTTGTTTTGCTGTTTTGTTATCATTTTACATTAAGTATGATAATGATTCAATGGCAAATATTTCCCTAATAAATGACAATTACTTCTACAGCAACTTAAAAAAAAAAAAACACTTCACAATAAAAAGTGCTGAATGATCACAAGTCTTTTTATTTACGTATTTATTCATTGCTTTGAACACGGGGGTTGGTGATTAGTATAATGCGGTATCTGTTGGTGGCCCCCGGAACCTCACAGATGTCACCAAACAGAAGAAGAGAGCCTGGGGACTCCATATGTTTCAAAAGGCACTCGTTTTGTTGCATGTGAAACTTTTTTGTTTCTAGTGTTATTTTTAATGGTACTTTTGATATCTGATTGATTGCTCAGTTGCTCAATGCATGTGGTCTGAACTTACAGTCTGTCTCCGTCGGGAAGTGAAGTTCTTCCACAGCAGCAAACCCAACTGAGTGGAGACAGTCATCTTGCCACGGATCCAAACTGTCCGTGCCTCCTCTCTGCAACTGTCAAGACAATAAGAAGCAAACAAAAGAGATAAAGCTAATGATGGCAATCTCATTTTGATCAGTCACTCACTTGGTCAAATAATGGTAAAGCATCTCATGCCAACTTTATCCGGATGGGACTTTATAATATACAGTGTCATATTAAAGTAAACAAGACATTAGGATGAGTAAACATTCAACAGATTGTGAGAATTTCCCATTAACATTTCAGCTGATTTCTTGGATAATTAAGTAGTGTGCATAACTATGACTGCAGAATGATTTTGGATAGTTTACAGACATAATGGATCCATTCATAATCACCTCTAATGTTAGAAAGGTGAAATAATAATTTAAACACAATGTTTTGGCTTATCTTCGAGTCATTCATCTTATCTTGTATAGGCTAAAACTGTGCACAATGTCAGCATGTGGGTTGTTACGCTGCATAATGATCTGAACCATAAATATCATGATGTCCCGCTGGTGTTTTGAATAAACTGTCTAGTAATCCATTTTCAAATTAATCTAAATGGTTATCATTCTTAACTACATGTATATAAGACAAGGCTATATTATGGTCAATTACATCATTTTTTTCTGTATCTATTAAGCTATTCAGAAATACTATAATAACAATAATACACTATTTCTGATATAAGTTTAATTACTGTTTACAATTGTGTCCACCATATCATACAATGTGTCATGCAATGTTGTTGTCAATGTTGTACAAACAGACCTGTATCATGCATTAGCAGCCTGTGTTTTGCTTCTTTTTTTTTGTACAAATCGTGCAGATATGATTCTTATGCTTTTGCTTTTCATACATAACATCATAAAGAGCGTCCCTAGCGTCCATTTTCTTATTTTTCGTCTTGTTTACCATTTTCTTCTTCGTCATATCGCTTCTCTAGCGTCGTACTCTCTGCTAAGTCTGTCAATTCTTGCACATATATACACCGAATTGTTAGGCTACTTTTCACTTAAAGCATGGAAAATAAACCTGTCCATCACTACTGACTTAAAACATGTTCAAGCAAGATCAAGATATGATGTAAGAAGAACAGTCCTCCACATATTTGTTTACTATACACAATCTGCCACGAATTACCTCAATGGAGCAAAATATGAAATGACACCGAATTATACACCGAACTATAGACCTAAGCAGCTGGTTTAACCAACAAATGCGTTTATAATCATGATGTTTTCAAGATGCAAAAGAGTTGAAATGCTCAGGGTGCTTTTCATTGTTCCGCAGAGGAGAGGTAACTCTCGGTCATCTCGCGCAGACTCGGTTGCGAACAGATGCTGGAGCGACACGCGAGCACTTACACAGTCTTCTTTGTTCATCTGTCTTTTCAAGTTGTCATTTTCTCAATAAAATACGAATGCCAACAACAGTCAATAATACACAATTTTCCAACACGCATATCTGCCACGAAGCATTCAAAACACCAGAACTCATCAAGTGTTTACTGTAAAAGACACGATCGTGTACGTTTTGAAGAAAAACAGCAACTGCGCGTTTCTGATTAAAGAATTAGCAGGTTGAAATATATGTAGCTACTTATATAGCGCAACAACTAATCGATTAAACGTGACAATGTGTAATCACTAACCAGCTTACAACATAAAGGACGGACACGAAGCTTTCAAAGCATCGCAACTCACCAAGTGTTTATGATACAAAAAAAAAAGACACAAATGCGTCGATCGCGTAATTTGTGGAAAAACAACAAAAGCGCGGAATTTGTAGGTTTTAAGTAAAATTGTTGATTTATAAATTAGTATGAAAATAAAAATTGGCATAGACTTACTAACTGACGTTACTCACCGTTATTTCTTGTGATGAAAAGATTATTCCTTATTTCATATAAACTGTAATTCCTTTTGAGAAGAGAGAAAAAACAGCTGTTCTAACTCTCTCAAAGCGATGTTGTAACGTTGGTGCTTTGTGCTCTTATGGACGGACCTTTTTCCTCTCCTCCGAGTTTTTATAGCGATGCGCGAGGTTACTGTCGGTCAAACGCGCTGCTGTTTGTCTTCGAGCCTCCATATATGGAAAGCACGTGCGGACCCAAAACAGCTCTTAAAAGGGCAACACGGATTCACTCAAAATCAGTTATTATTAAAAAAAATTTCTGCATCTTAAATTACATGTGCTGTAAGTTTATACTCCAAATATGATGTATTTAATAATAATTAGGCTATATATTTTTACAGGTATCACTGAATGAAATAGGGGTGTGCAGTGATTGGTTGGCACAAGTTTAACTGGTTCAGTTGCTACAAAGATGCAAATGTTTGGAGTGTTCAGTAACTAATTTTCAGACATGTTTAGATGTTAAAAAAATGTCTAAGTGAGTGTACATTTTTCAGCAAATGGTGCATTTCATGAAAAAAGCTTAAACCAGCTTTAGATGGGTTGCTGGTCTTAACTGGTTTTAGATGGTCTCACAGCCTGGCCAAGCTGGTGAACTGATTGATACGTATATTAGGATGTTTTTTTCTTTCTTTCAGCATGTATAACAAATCGAATCTAAAATGTTATATCCTGCATTTGTTATTAATTAATCCAAATAAACTGTCTAAATAAAACACCCATGTCAAGCAACTAACTGAAGTGTTTTGAAGTGAAGTGTTGAAGAGAGAGAGGGAGAGAGAGAGAGAGGGAGAGAGAGAGAGAGAGAGAGAGAGAGAAAGCTTATCTTCAGGCCATCAGGACCTCTGAGAAATGAAGGCAGGCTGCAGCACTTGACACAACCCAGAGCTGGGCCTTGAGTGAACTGAGCTGGACAGATATAGCACTAGCTTAGGAATTTAATTGATAAAGTGCCCTAGAAATCCACCTATCATTCAAAATATAATACATAGGCTAGTACTAAAACATAGTACAGGTGGCAGATTCAGAATATGCATGATGAAGGTTTAAAGTCAGCTTTTATTTTTTATACCGAATCTTTGCAGACAATATTAAGTTGTGTTCGGTTTGTCTATTCTTAAACTTACAGATACAGGAAATGCATTGTGTTGACCTATTCCCTGGACTTTCTGCATCTCTGGTCTGGATAACCATGAAAAGTCATCCATTAATGAAATGTATTTGTATAGCTGACACACATATCACATTTCTCTGGACCTTTTTTTTTCACCTTTATGATTTTAGGATAAACTTTAGGCATAACGGAAACTGTATATCTGAGGTATACTAATAACTAATCCACATTTCTTTTGCACAATTTTAAATCCCTCCTTTTTTTTTTTTTGCAATATGTCTTGCAATATCATAAAGGAGTTTTTTAATATGAGGTCATAAAAGGTTAATGCATTATAAATATAAAATAATTGCAAAATGCACTTTAAAATAGTGTTAGATGGAGTATAGCATGTCAACTACCCAAAGTATTTCATGAAATATCATGCATGCATGTCAACTACCAATTTAATAAATTTCCATATTGTCATATGAATTAAAAACATAGATGAAACCTATTAGAAATTGTAACAATTTCATATATTAACATCTATATGCAGCCCGTACAAACATGTTTATGTATGTATAATACATTTTTGGACATATTGTCGACATACATGGTAGCTACGTATAATGGCATCATACATATAAAAATCATCATATATATTATTAACACATGTACCTATAATTTTTACTATGGGCATTTTATATATCTTATATCTTCATCTACCCACAGAATGTACATATGTGATAATTATATATCACTCTTGATACACAATATATGTCATATATTACATTTCCATATGGGATAGTTTACATTTAAAGTAGTAAATCTTTTAATAATTGCTATTCAGTGACACTGTGAATCAAACAACATTAAAAAAAAACAGAATCTGGCCTGTCTGTTTCTAACCACTCAGTCAAAAAGAACACTGTGACTCTGATTCGACCGAGAGTAGGTAACATTGTGCCTTTTGTGTTTTTGGTCATGTGACCAGCACTTTCATCCTGTTTTTCATGCCGTTCACCTCTTTGTGTTCATGCAGGCCGTGAGGCTGCCAAGTGAATAACGCTGCCCTCATGCCCCAGTATCCTCTGCTAGTTTTGTGGAGTTGAGCCTCAGCGGCGACACTATACTGATGACACAGAGAACGAGAGAGAGATAAACAAAGCATCTGAGCGTGACATGAAAACTATTTGCAAAGGAAACCACAATCGGGTCTTGAGAACTGAGAGAGGAAGTTTAATATTCAAACTGTGGTAAACACACTAGACGTGTGATCTGAGTTTGTTTTTTCTAAACTAGCATACACACAAATATGTTAATAATTCAGTATTACCATCCAATACCATGGTGCTACAGTGTTTTTTAAAGGTTCAATATCACCTGGTTGTTGTAAAGCAATGCCACAGCACTTGACAAGAAGTCTGCGGTGTTGCTGTTAAGATACTTATCAACTGATGTGTAACGAGAAGGTGAACTGTTTGCTGCTTCAGTTGGTTTATATGGCACTGACACACAACTGTACAGTTCCCAGCATGACCTGCAAAAGCTGTTGCCCTTTTAAGAGCACGCGCCTCGGTTCCGATGATTCTTATATTGCACCGCAGCAAAACGGTGCCTGTGCGTGCAAACGGATCCATTGCTTAAAACGCCCTCCATAAAAATCAGACGATTCTCAAAAAAATGAAAGTAAAAAGTCATTGTAAAAAGCGTCTGCGCTGCAGAATTTAGCAGTCTAAAATGCCTTAAAATGAGAGAATTATGCGGCGTCAAACAATATTTCGCCAGGGGAAGCAAATATCATCACTTATTTTCAAGCTCCTCTCAGCAGCTGAGCACAAAGAGTCGGTTTGTCCGATAGTAACCCCGCGAAGGGGGAGGGAGAGGGGGTGCTGGATAAATATAGCTCTTCTGTATACTCGGGCATCATAACATCTTGCTTTTGAATATATTCATGCATTATGCGTTTTATTCGACGTTTCTTTACCGAAATCTATTCCTTCTTTGACTTGCCGTTGCGCGACACCCTGTTGAACTCTTTCCATTACACATGTACACAATTATGCATTAAACCAAATGTTTCCCTCAAGTAAATTAAGTCCATTAAACGCACATGTAATGACATTATTAATCTAAGACCGAGTATAAAGATGCAGGTTTAAACGGAAGAACGACTCTGCAGTGCTGCAATGACCGAGAGTAACCTCGCCTCGGAGCGCGAGCAGCAGAAACTGGGTGAAAGGGGACATGACGTCACACGCTACTTTCTCGACTGCTGCGTTTACATGCTCATTAGCCGCAAGGCGTGTGATGCTCTTTACAGCTATGCATTCAACAAATACAAGTAGCTAGTTCCTGGAATGCCACTGAATTGATGTCAGCCCAGTTAATACAGCTAGTTGGTGGAAGAGCGCTTATTGGCCAGCTGCAGGTGACGCTGAAAATATTACGTCATGATAGAGACACAGAAAATCAACACTGAAATGTCATTCAAAATTTTTTTATTTTAGTCTTTCATCAGTGATCAGTAAGCTATATCGTGGGGCAAAACAGCATTTCTGTCCATGACCTGGTCACAGAGGGAAGATTTCATGGTAATATTGTTCCACCAGAGGGATTCTCAAAGTTATAGTTTCAGCTGAACTGTCTGCCACTTACTGATTCTGTGTAACATCGATCAGATCTTCAGCAGGTCAAGGCATATTTGTTTCAAATATATTTGTGTATCCTTAAAACACTATACAGCAACACTAAAAAGTAGATACTTTTGGACACTGAAGTTCAGATACACTATTATAGTTTTTGTCAGCATTTTGAATTAGATTTTATTTCATAATTTTTTTTTTCAACTTAGTTTTTGTAATTAAGTTGTGTGTTTATGTTTATTATTTTAAAAATATATATATGTCTATATAGTTTTTAAGTTTTAGTTTTTTCATGGTAATATTGTTCCACCAGAGGGATTCTCAAAGTTATAGTTTCAGCTGAACTGTCTGCCACTTACTGATTCTGTGTAACATCGATCAGATCTTCAGCAGGTCAAGGCATATTTGTTTCAAATATATTTGTGTATCCTTAAAACACTATACAGCAACACTAAAAAGTAGATACTTTTGGACACTGAAGTTCAGATACACTATTATAGTTTTTGTCAGCATTTTGAATTAGATTTTATTTCATTATTTTTTTTTTAAACTTAGTTTTTGTAATTAAGTTGTGTGTTTATGTTTATTATTTAAAATATATATATATATATATGTCTATATAGTTTTTAAGTTTTAGTTTTTAGTTTTATTTATTTTAGTACCAACTTTAAACGAAAATGAGAAATATCGCAACTAGCTGAAGTAAAATAAGTTTTTATATTTTATTTAAAATAATGATTTTAATGATAGTAACCCTGTTAAAAGTCAGACTTGATTGTCTTGATTGTTGATTGTCTTTGACTTGATTGTTTGTTGTAGCTTGAAAAAAGTTTGTTGTTTTGCTGGAAAAAAGTGCTTGTGCTTTCTATAAAAGAAAGTAATATGATAAAATTAATTATTTAGATTTTTTGTTCAGGTTTAGCTAAATATGGCCTTAATGTACTATAACTGTACCATGTGTATATTTTATACCAATACAAATACAAGTTAAGAGATTACTATTATGCAAAAAGTCTTTGTCAATCATAACAACACTTTGGTAAGTCTTATGCAATCTGGAGGTGGTTACTTTCATTTTTTTTACACTTGCAAGCCTTCCATTTTTTCTTATAACACCACATTCCCTCTTCAGTCTGCACCACATTTCAGCCATACTTCAGATGATAACAGAGAGTGATTTTAAAACTGGCTAAACTGACAGAAGTGAAGTCTGACAGCCTCTATATGACATGTGTGTGCTCTGTGCTGAAGGCCTAGCAGCTGGTGTCGGACACAGAGGGACATTCACAGGGAACAGCTGTCAGGAACACCCTGCTCACGACACATGTGATTGTCCAGCTCTGCTTTTTGCCATCATCATCAGTGTGGGTTTTGAAGTGTAGGGCCCCTCGACAGGGCCGAAAAGTGCTGACTGCATGCACACATCAACTGCAGCCTTTCCTGGATTCCAGCTTATTGTTTAGAGAGCGATACAGTAAGGCTTATTAGCAGTGCTTTTGATTTATGAATAAGAATATTATCATGTGCCTCAATAGTTGGCTATTCATGCAGTTCTATCTAAACTATGCATGCAAGCAGGAACCTTGAAAATAATATTAAAGATGAGGTGTGCCATTTTTCAGAAGTTAAAATCTCTTAACCAAACCTAATTTGCATGTGTAGATTGATTTTCACGGAAAACAATCGTAAATATTGCGATTCTGAAAGGCTCAAAGCTCTGTTTCTGATTTTATTGGGGGGGGGGCTATGTGTTTGATTGGAAAATATAAACCAACAAAATCTTGGATGATGGATTGTTTGCCATATGATTATCCAAATTTTGTCACGTGGCATTTTAGGAAACTAATGGTTCATATATGGGGTTCCCACGATTCCACGTGACATATCTAGATGAAATCTATGTGTTAGCGTCACTTCATGTGAACCTCGTCAGCTTCAAGTGAATCTGAGCATTGCTCAAACCAGACAAACATCGCTGAACATACATTACTGCTTGAACCTTTGATTCCCTCGTGTACGTGTGTTTGTGATGCCACAAAGTTCACCATCTGTTTGTGTGTGTGGGTTGGTGTTTTACACTGAAGTCAAACATGTAGTGATACTAACATTTAAGATGTTGTAAATATATTAAAAGTTTGCAGCTGTATGTCCAAATCCAGTAGGTCCATATAAATACATATATGCATGTGTGTGAATTTATGTAATTTATTACTATAATATATAATACAATCATTAATCATATTAATTAATTTTTAATTATTACTTATATAATTTATAATTAACTACGTATACACACATACATGCTTTATATAATACTAAGATCAAAGTATTTATATAGACATTTAAAAAGTATTATATACTGTATATCAGTATAGTTATTCCATAATAAAATAAATAAATGCTTTGTTTTATTTAATAACAGACATTCCATATCAATAAGGTATAACACCTTGTGATTGCATCATTGAACTGTTTAATATATATATATATACACACACAGTACAGTACATATAACATATTTACTGCTTATATATTTACCACATTATTAACACTAACAATAATAATAATAATTATTATTATTATCATCACTGCATAATTTAATAGTGTTCAATGATTTAACTTTTTGCCATTTTTTTAATAAATGTACAAGAACAATAAGAAAAATTGTATTTACAAATATATTAAAAATATATCAAATGTATACATAATTTAAATACAATTTTAAAACCCTCCCAGGAGTTGGTAGGACCACCTTTGCCAGTAGTTGCATTTTCCTTGCTCAAGTCTCTGTCTGCATTGCACATCTTCACATTGAAATTGTTGTACATTTCATTCCAGCATTTCTCAAGCTCCATCAGACTGGATGGGAACTGAATGTGAGCTGCAATTTTTTACGTCATTCCACAGATGCTCAATTGGATCACAGTGTGCTCCAAGACATGCCTCTTTTAGGGTTGAAGGAGTTTCTCTGGTCATTGTCCTGTTGCGAGAGGAAACTCAAAACTCATCTTCCCAGACCCAGTGCTCATGCAGACTGAAGCATATTCTCTTCAGGGAGTTTTTTTTTTTCTTTCTATAGTACATTTTGTACACAAACATTTTTTCCTAACATCCTTCTCCTTTCCCGAAGCATGATGCTGCCAGCACTATTGCATGACTGTAGGGAAGTTGTTTCTAAAGTCATATGCTCTATTAGATTAGATCTCACAGAAGTGAGGCTCAAAAGTTGGGTTTTGAGATGATCAGATCATAAAATTGAGAGTCTCCCATGGGTTCGGCCAAACTCCAGCTCAGATGTAATATGAGTTCTCACAAAGGCTTTTTGTGATACAGGCCAGCTATTGTATCATTACAGTTTTTCTCAACTCTATCATGGCAGTGGGTCTCGTAGGGCTTAACTTTATCCCATATTTCTTAAAAACAATAATTATTATATAATCAACTCTGAAATACGCTGTTGGTGATTAAGAGACAATAGTACAGGGATGAGCTTATGTTTGGTCAGATATGCAGCATCAGTTCAATATATATTGTGCCTAAGTCTGCGTATTTGTTTTTTTATTTACCATTTTTGATCATGTACAGAAGTGACAGTGTTTACTGTCACAATAATATGAAATTCAAGCTTTCCCCTCCCCATAAATCACCCCATAAAGTAAATTAATAAATACTAACAAAATAATGAAGTATTATTCTTTTTATTATTAATAATAATAGTAAGAACAATTATTATTACTAGCAAATAAATAAATAAATATTATTATCAAAATATTTTATTATTATTATTATTATTATTATATAGTCCCTGAAATATACTAATAAAAATATGAAATTAAACTAGACTTAATAAATGCAGGGGCAATAGATAAATAAATAAATAGGTATTATCGTTTTTGTTGTTTTGTTGTTATTGATGATAGTAATAACATTCATTATTATTACTTATATTATTAAATAATAATAAAAGATCACATTAAACTGAGAAATTGAGTATGTAAGAGTCTTGCAATGTGAAGAGTTTTCAGCACATAGACAGAATGCAGTAAAAGAGTAAAAGATGTTATTATACTCTTTATAAAGTTCAGGAGGTGACTCCGTCTTTTTACAAAACGTCCTGAGATTACACGATCATACCTGGCCATTTTAGACCTGGTACTGTTGAACAACAATGACTCATCAGAGCATTATACTGACCTTGCAAAGAGCTTGAAGGTTAGTGAGAGGAGACTAAAATAACACATAAATCGATACCCTCCCAGATGGTCTGTGTGAGCAGACACACACTAGTGTAAAGGGATATGTGAGCTGTGTTTGGATGGATGCATGGGAGGGGATTGGGTCATACAGTACATGTGCACACCTGACAGACTTGAACTCAGCACCCCCCCTCGGACACCCCAAACTTGGTAGCTTCCACTTTACCCAAACAGGCTACATATAATGATGCATGTGTGAGGGGCCTAGCAAAACAAACATCTTCTACAATAATGACTTCTTTTTTTGCTTTCAGAGACAGTGTTATATATCAAGTGTAGCTTTTATGCATGCATAAAAGATATTTCTCTATGCCCAGTAGCGGTAAGGGTCGTTTTTCCTGTCTTTACCGGTTTAGACGTCAATAGCTGGGAAATGGTTCATTCAACAGGGAATAGGAAGGGAGATTTTGGGAGATATTCTGAACAAGGGATGTACTTACAATAAACAGGAAGTCATGTGAAACAGGCCCTTTGCATCATACTGAAAAAGAGATATGAGAATACATTTTGCAATCACACTGCAATAACATTAAACATTATCCCAAAAATAAACAATTCTCTTCTTCATAACGTTGAAGTTTGTATCTGTTGCGGATTCCTTGTATGCTTTTAGGGTTTACATAAGGAAATTTATCCCAAAAATAAACAATTCTCTTCTTCATAACGTTGAAGTTTGTATCTGTTGCGGATTGCTGTATGCTTTTAGGGTTTACATAAGGAAATGAACATATCCTTCAAAATTCAACATAAACAGTATCTTGACACTGGATTTAAGCTGCTGTAGGAACAATGTATTCCCAGTCGAAATGTTTTTTTAACCTTCAAATTGCTTTCACCAGCACAGAATTAAAAATACAGACAATGGCGCCATCTGGTGGTTGCAATTACCTAAAACAACATGCGATATATATAACAAAAAATTAACGTGCATTGCGCTTGCTTCGGTTCATTTAGCAGTTTTGAAAACCATCGCACGCTTGCTAAATCTAAAACATTTTCTGACGGAAATGGGAATGCATTTTTGATTTCGAAACAGTCCAAAGTAGACACGTGACTGTAACTGCACCAGCATATTATTGTCCACACCAAAATTAACGTGCATTGCGCTTGCTTCGGTTCATTTAGCAGTTTTGAAAACCATCGCACGCTTGCTAAATCTAAAACATTTTCTGACGGAAATGGGAATGCATTTTTGATTTCGAAACAGTCCAAAGTAGACACGTGACTGTAACTGCACAAGCATATTATTGTCCACACCAAGCTTAGCAAGTGTAGCACGGTCCAGCAACCATACATGAGCAATGCATGAGCTCAAAAGAAAGATCTGCTGCAGAAAACACGCACCTTATAACTTATGGTCCAAAATAAGTCACACGTATTTCAACTTAATGACTGATCAAGTTTGCTAACCGTCTGTCATGCTAGTTCATTGCTTTAAACATGTCATGGTGTTTCTCAAAAGAAAATGATTCTAACAAAGAGTTTGTCATCATATTTGATGCTCACTTTAATACACTTTTGTTCACATTGAACATCAAAACAATGTGACCATACCAACATGATCAGTTTATCACATATATTTTTAGTTAAGATCAAAGCAGGTGTAAAAGCTGGAAAAACATCATCAATGTATTTAAACGTAAAAAGCATTTCTACCACATCCAACATTTATGACAATACTTCAGTGATTTTAGGTCATGAAAAGTTAACTTTGCACATTATGTTCAATACAAACCATATAAGCACATTATCAGTGGTGCAGTCCATCATAAATACAGCACATACTGTAATATATCTAACATGAACAAGACAAAAATAAACTGTATAGTTCAGTTATTGTAGTCTTTTATATACATTCATTAGACCTTATTTACAAAACAGACAGAGCTTTGTGCACCAATGTATGTGAGAATGGTTTTACGGAATTCAAATAAAGCCCATTATTTCTGTCACTCAGTACATTATTTAAAATCATGTAGACTCATTTCCTTTTGATTGATTCATCTCACAGCACACGTTTAAAATCTGCCTATACGTTTGTTGGCTCAGATGTATTATTACAGTAAGATTTACATTCAATTAAACTTTTGAAGTCAATCTCCCTTACAAAAAAATCAAACTGAAATACACTTTCACGCAGGAGAAGTGCTGGATATGTTCAAAATGCACAGAATGCACATGGTCTGTGCATGTACAAAGATAAACGGCTGTCAAAATGTGCAGGACACACTTGACTTTGATTTGACAGTCCAATTCTATTGAAATGAATGAATCAGATTTTAGCATCATTTTAGCATCATCTGACAGACTTTAACCATTTTTTGTAAACAAAACTGAATCAAATGTGCCAAATGTATTTTCCTAGATAATCATGCAACATGATGAGGTCATGCATCTGTAGTGTAGCATGCTATGTTTTCATGTTTTAAATGTTTGTCATTGCATAATGTGTACTATGTTGTGTTCTATTTAAAGAAGCATAGAAGGCAGTATGCAGTATACACTAGGCAGCATGCATTGAGTAGTATGCTAGACTACACTGAAAACACTCAAAGTTCTCCACTTGGAGGCAGTATTACCTCATCATGCTGCAGGTTTGAGTGCATTTAGTCTCAATGCACACCCTGAAGTGTACAGTATCTCATTTATATAACACCTGTGGATGGATTCGCTTTGTGTTATTTAAAGTATGTCTATGACAGAGCACCTATAACAGAACCACGATCTGATGCACGTGGGGCCCTTCAGCTGAGCTGCTCGGTTGCAAACGTGGGCTCTCTGTGAAGGCAGAGTTTAGTAGCTGCTGCTTTCATCTTTGACCTCCACCTGACACTGGGACTTGGTGCTCTTGCGGTTGCTTTGGCGCGGGTCGTCGCCGTGGATGCTGGTGTCGATGCGGGACAGGGTGCACATGCTGCTCTGGTTGTGTGGGTGGAGACGGGTGGGACGGAGCTCGAGTTCATCGTAGCTGGACACATGGATGAAGGGACACCACCTGAAGGCCCGTTTGAAACCGGCCCTAAACCTGGAGGTTTGGAAAAAATGATTTTTGAAATGGATTCCTAGTTCATCTCAAAAAGCAACAGATAACATTAATAGGCTATAATAAATTGATTCTTAACAATAGCTTCGTAATAAGCTAGGATAATAGATCTTGTATGTATAGGAATTGTGTAGATCCAAAAATCAATACCTAAAAAGCGTTAGCAAGTAAACATCAGCAAGTTACTTTCCAGTTGACCAGTAAGTTTATTAAGAACGGCAAGATTATAAAGTTTAAATAGAAGTCTAAGAATGATACTTTTTAATATTTTGAAACTGATTTGATTCCAAATTAAATATATTATTAAAAATAACATTAATTATGTAAATACATAATATAATATATAAATACATAAATATTATATAGATATATTTAATATTACTATATTATACTATTACTATAGTAAATATATTTTTATTACAAATCAATATTAAATAAATACAAAAATATTACAATTTATTTCATTATTAAATAAGACCAAGTAACTTGCCAGTTGACTGGTAAATTTTGTAAGAACGGCAAAGCTACATAATTTATATAGAACTGTAAGGATTATACCTTTTTATATTCAAATAATACATTAAAATTATAAATAAATCATAATTTTTTAATTATAAAAATAAACATAAAATTTAAATATATTATAAATCAATATATTAAATATATTGTTAAAAATAATATATTAATATTATATATTATTTATATATATTGATATATTATATATATTGCTACAATATTACAAATTATATAATTATATATATAAATGGCCAGAAAATGTTCTCTATCTGCAGATGTGGCAAAAAGTTTATATATTGTGTATATTTAATTTTTTGTATTTAATTTTCTTCTTATTTTTTGCACAGTCTATAAAGAGTATGCCAGACCTACATTTCACTGCTTGTTGTATGTTATATAACTTGTATGTGACAAATAAAATCTGGAATCTGGAATCTTGGAAGTTAATTTTGCAGCTTGAGTGTATATTAGTATATGAGTGATTCATTACCTGCCATTCAGACAGCAGTAAATGATGGGGTTGTACATGGTGGAGCTCATGGCCAGCCACAACACAGACAGATAGACCTGCTGGATGGACTTCCACTTGTTCAGACGCTTGTTTAGACCCGTCACAATGAAATAGACGTGATAGGGCAACCAGCAGAGGGCAAAGGTCACCACCACCACGATCATCATCTTCACCACCTGAGGAGAGAGCCAGTGATCATTTAGTCACAACATGAAGCATATGCCAGCAAAGCATATGAGTTTCGGCTTCTTGTGTTCTGGAAGAAAACAGCATCAGGGAAAGTCACGGCTCAGCTCGCAGTCTGAAGTCTCCATCTGCCGACTCAAAGCCATCTGCTGCCATTGTTCAGTGAACGAAAACTCAAACCTGAAAACAGATAATGAATGACGAGAGGAAACATGTCGGATAGTGATTTAGCACCACACTGAAAGCTTTTGCACCGGTCATCAGACATGTGAGAAACAGATAATGAATGACGAGAGGAAACATGTCGGATAGTGATTTAGCACCACACTGAAAGTTTTGCAACGGTCATCAGACATGTGAATCAACCCCAATTAAGAGTTGTGGTAGTTTTTATCATGAAAGAGCAGGAGGAAATTGCAGTGTGCTGAAAAGTACATAATTGCATATGTCATATGTAAATGGCACCAAATGACAATTTTGTGTTTTTGATTTGTTGTTACTGGCATCAGGCGGACAGAATGGAGCAGACTGTTCCAGGGTCCAGGAGTCGTTTGTTCTTGTTACACTAAACAGCCTCACATCTCGCACAGCCTGACATCTGACTAGCAGCATCTGGCCCACGGTTCAGCACATTTTAGAAAGTACAACAAAGTACTCACAAATTAGACAAGAAGAGACTGCTGGACCTAAATTTGAGGTGACCAACCTCAGTTTACACCGCAATCTATTTTGAACAGCAGTGTTGTCTGCACACACAGTACAGTTCGAAAGATTGGGGTCTATAATACAGTAAAATCAGTAATATTGTGAAATATTATTACCATTTAAAATAATTGCTTTGTATTTGAATATACTGTAAAATGTAATTTATTCCTGTGGTCAAAGCTGAATTTTCAGCATCATTACTCAGTCTTCACGGTTGATCCTTCAGAAATCATTCTAATATGCTGATTTACTGCTCAAGAAACATTTCTTATTATTATCAATGTTGAAAACAGTTGTGCTGCTTCAGATTTTTATGGAAACCAAGATACATTTTTTTTCAAGATTTCAGGATTTTTTTCAGGATTGTTTTCTGGGTTCTTGACGTAACGGACCCGGGAAGTAACTCCTTGTAGTCCCTTACGAGCCGTTTTTGTAGGCATTAAGCTGCCAGAATTTTAAAAGAAGATATCTCCGTTTGCATCGAAAGTTCAACTTCGTAACTTTGCAGATATTGTTTATGATCAAACAGCTGAATGGCTATGTAAGTGTGATGAACACTGCTTGGCGTCTAGTCAGTCACACATCGAGTAGAAAACGAGCTGTACCTTCTTGACAGGTCATGTTCACCTGCCCTCCTGAAAGACAATGTACTTTCACACTGATTGAACACCATTCATACGCTCCCTTGCAACCTTAATAAACTTCGGCTAAACCTTTGTCAAACTGGCACTCTCTGACACTTCTGCCGCCCGTGGCTCATCGTATCCGCCGCTAGGGTTACGTCACACCTAACCTTTCCACACTAACTAACGTTAAAAAACTGAAATCGCAATCAACCACCCCTTTAATAAATAGAAAGTTAAAATGAACAACATTTATTTGAAATAGAAATACATATTTTTTATTATTATAAATCTATTTACGCACTTTTCATTTAATTAATGTTCTTGCTGAATCCAAGTATTCAATTTCTTTGAAAAAGTATTAGTAATTTTGTTGTGTTTTTATCATTTGTAATAGTTTTTGTTGACAGACAGACAGACAGACAGACAGACAGATAGATAGATAGATAGATAGATAGATAGATATTGGCAACTAGCTGAAATGCACATTTTATTTTATTTTAATGTTTGTTTTATTTTGAGCAAAAAATGGGTAAACCTTTGTCAAACTGGCACTCTCTGACACTTCTGCCGCCCGTGGCTCATCGTATCCGCCGCTAGGGTTACGTCACACCTAACCTTTCTCTGCTTTGTGTAACTGTCAATCAGCAATTATTCACAAGGCTCCACTGCGTCCCATTACTCATTAAAGTACAGCGGGGTCTCTTCAGGGTACAAGACTTGTCGCTTTTTTACAGACAAGGTGCAAATGAAAGAGTTAATTGATTGATGATGGACGGCGTTTCTTTGTCTTTTCCAACAGGTCCGTGTCAAATTATGCACAAATTAATGAGGCCATTTGAGACATTGTGAGTGGCTTTTCAAAGGTTGTCATGCACTAAAGTTAGCAAAGGATCCTCGGTCTAAAAGAATGAAGGAATGGTGTTTTCAAAAGCGATAGATTAATGGCTTGAAAATGTTTAACATTAACAACAGAGGTGCCAGTTAAGTGTTCAGTTCTCAAAAAATGAGAAAGATATAAAGTGCATGTAAACGTCCAACCAATCGCCTGAGATCTTTGTGCTCTGATGTGTTGTTGAGTCTCAGCCTCAGACGTTACACTCACAGACCGTTCACAGACTGTTGATATAATAAACTAAATTATTTTACTACTATTATTTTATTATTGTATTCTGCTTTTTGAGTTCAACTATCATTCAAAAGCTTGAGGTCAGTATGATTTTTTAAAAGATATTAATACTTTTTTTTAGCAAGGACACATTAAATTGGCAAAAATTACAGTAAAGACATTTATAATGTTATAAAATAATTCTAAGAATTCTATTTCAAATAAATGCTGTGTGTGTGTGTGTGTGTGTGAAAATGCTTTTAATTCACCAGTGCAAATTTTTATACTTCTCTCCAATCAAGAGTCTGAGAAAGGGTTCACACGCCCTGCGAAACCTACTGAAATCCTTTTTGTTACATTTCTAGCCAATCAGCAGGCTCTTTAAAACAATCAATGGGCTTTGGAAAGTGAGGTTGTGTAAAGGTAACTTTAATCCAGCGTAAGCCTACGGTTATATCTGAAACGATTCTGTAATCTCTTAAGAACCATTCTGTAAAAACCATTTTTGCACAATACGAGATGAATTGTCCCAGATTAATCCCTGAGAGGGACCTATCACTGTCCCACATGTGCGAGCACGTGTCACAAAAAGCTCAGAGCTGACCTGCGGGATAAACCAGACATGACCTTAATCTGTGGAAAAATATCAAATAGATATAGCAATACAGTGAGATTCCCTAAGTACAGGTAACAGCAAATACATAGATTCATTTCTATGATTTACAAATGCATGGGCTCATTTCTTAAACACTGTCCTTTAGTCACCTCATTCTGATGCTCCTACCGAGGACAGAGAGATTATATGAGAGAAATCAGTCAGTTCCTTACAAACATATTTTTATGAACATTTTCATAATGTTCACATTAAGTTATGAAAACATTATTCTCTGAACATTCAAAATATCCAGTTAAAATTTTTTTTTTCATGTTTATGCAATCCTTCTCAAAAACATTAAGGGAGTGTTCCATTTTATAATTTTGCAAATATTACTTTTGAATGTTCTCTGAACATTTTGAAACTAGTTAGTCGTGACATAAAAAACGTCCAAATAAAAAGGTTTCAGAAAAAATGAATGCTCTATATATATATATATAATGGTTTTTGTGCTATTTTTATTTATTTATTTTTTACGAATGTTATCAAAGACCAGATAACTTTGAACAAATGTTTTCTTACTGGAAGAACGTTTCTTCACAACTTTAAGAGAACCTTGCCAGAATGTTAAGTTTTAACATAAAGCTCACTTTAAAAGACTTATTTTTGTCCATGCAATGAAAGTCCATGCAGTATTTGTTCATATTTTGAATTAGTGTTTGTTTTTATATTTGTAGTTTTCTTTTTCATTTAATATTTTTGCAAACTACTCACTAAACTGTTATTTTTTACTAGTTTTTGTTTTTTAAATATTTCTATTCATTCTAATTTATTGTTTCAGTTTTAGTTTTAATAATCTTAGTACTACTAGAACTTAAACTTATTTTATTTCAGTTAGTTGCCAAGGCAACAATTCTAATTTTTAATTTGAAGGTTTTTTTCTCATTTACTGTTTTATTTCAGCTTTACTTAAATTAACAAATACAATTATAATTTTTATAGTGGCATTATTATTATTATTATTATATGTTTTTGCTATTATAACAATAACACTGCATGGAGTTCAATGTTGTTCTGGATGTCGTTTTGGACAAGAAACATTCTTCAAAATACCTTCTTCCATGTTCTGCAGAAGAAAGAAAGTCATGCTGAAGAACTAATTTAAGATGAAAACCACAGCATATGTTTTTCCAAGCCTTTTGACCAAAACTAATATATGTCAGTATGTCCTCTTACCTTCCTTTTGGCATGTAACTGTCCAACATAACTGTCCGACGAATCTCCAGGAATCTCTCCTCCCCAAAGTGTCACCCCGACTATAGTGTAGGTGATACCCATGACCACTAGGGGCAGCATGTACACCAGCACCGTTACTATGATATGATACCTGCACAGGTGAGAGGAGAGGACGCCGTTGTAAAAAAAAGAAAAACTCGTGGTTTTTATGTATCTCACCAAATGATAAACCCAAATAGGCTTATCTAATGCTTGGCGCTTTGGTGTTTAGACAATAAGTTTGGATTGTGAGTCAGGAAGATTGTTTACACTTCTGACACACCATTTGGCCACCGGTAAATAGGTAATGTGTTTGGTTTTCTCGCCTCACTGGCAGATGGCACTTAGTGTAAAGATAGCAGGCAATGTAAAGCCAGAAAGAGCATTACCAATATTTGAGCAGTGGAAGCAGAGCCTGAGAAGCGCAGGCTGTACAGAAATTACAATCAAGCAGAAGAAAAAGCAGTCAGCCGGTGTGAAATCCTCGGCTTGCTGTCTTGCTTTCTGCACACACATCTGGCTTCTAAGACAGATTCCTCAATGAAATCCACCTCATTAGTGACTGATCTGGGACTGTTGTCAGAAACAAATGAATCTCTTACATGAACGAATCCTCAGAAGGTCTCGGCCAGGCGACGTAGCAGATGGTTCTGCGAGGCATAGTTCTCGTGGTCGAGTAGAAACACAGCGGGAAGGCCAAAATCACAGCCAGGGCCCAAATACAGACAATCACCACTTTAGTAGCGGTAGCTGACAGACGAGGCTTTAGAGGGTGAATTATGGCCATGTACCTGCATAAAGAAGAACATGGTTTTAAATGAACCCTTTTCACACAGAAACAGAAGTCATCATAGTTGGGTGAACTTCAATAGTTGTGAATGGAGACTACAACGTATATAATTTTTGTGTTCTCATTTCAAAGAAATATCCACAATAAAGTTTCTATGACTTTACAAAAGAGGGGGAAAAAATGGCAGAGATTCATTACGATGGTCAGAAGAGAGAAAGATGTCAAATTTGCTGTCACTCCCTTAGCCGTTTAAGAAGAACTCATACATCAGCATTAGTTTTCTGTAATCTTGATGACAAGGTAATAAAACACAATGTGTAATGTTATTAATGTACATAAATTTTTTTCTAAAAAAAATGAATATGTAAAAAAGTTGGTAGATTTGCAATGTTAATAACTGTGAAAATGCGTCATCACAGTCTGTGAAAAGGGTCCATAATTAAATCTAACTGAAGAACGTAACGAGTGTGAGATGTTGAATTAGAATTTGATTGTCAGGAAGAAAACAAAACAAAACACTGATAGTTAATAATGTTTCAGGTTTATGCATGATGACATCTTTATGGGTCATATAAAAATAGGTCTAGGATTTACTTTGGTATAGTTTTTGAGTTTTATTTTTACAGTGCATTATTAAAAATTTTAATTCCACTTAAATTTAAAGGGGTCATATGATGCGATTTCAATTTTTCCTTTCTCTTTGGAGTGTTACAAGCTCTTGGTGCATAAAGAAGATCTGTAAAGTTGCAAAGACTAAAGTCTCAAATCCAAAGAGATAGAGAAACAATAATGTACAGTATGTGGAAAATAATGTGTTTTTTTAACTTTAAACCGCATAAACACATTTCATTACACCAAATACACAAAATACTGTTCTTTTTAGCAGCATCATATGACCCCTTTAAAATTGAATTCTGCTTCCTGTTTGCTCCCTCAATTCAAACTCACAAATTATGCACAATTCATGTCTGAATGGTGCAAAACCCTGTCTGAAGTCAAACCTTTTGTTAACATGAAACAAACAGGGGAGGCAGCATATGGATGAACACTCGTGTATGCTGAAAGATTACGCAGAGTTAAGATGAAGAGATGTTCTCTGGCTCCTACACAGCCACAGACTGAGCTTGTAATCTTTTAATGAAGGAAAAGTCCCCCTATGCTCTGGATCATGCAGATCAGTATCACAGATCTCATCTCATTAGATGCATTCATGACTAACTGATGCTATGAATGGTGCCTGCGTAATACTGAAAATGAACAGTTTAGCTAAATAAATGTAGATAAGAACAAGGTATAATGAATGATATGTTGATTTATTCTATTTAAAATAATGCAAAAAAAAATTTCATTATAGATACTAGCCAAATTTTATCATCTAAAAATAGCCCACTTTTATGACTTTTAAAGACATTTTCAAAGCTTGAAATGTATATAGACTCATCAACAACCTCTACTCATAGCTGAACACATTTATTGTTCAATTTTGCTGTAGCTACACATTGAGCGGACGTTCTGAAATTTAAATAGCTCTCAGGCAGTTACTTTTGTTCATATAGTTTCAACGTACAATGATACAAGAAACTTGAATAAACGCAGAAAGAGTGCATGTGCTTCCGGATAATTTACAAAGGCATTTAATACGTTTTATATATTATTTTATAATTTTATAGACTGTATTTTATATTATATATCTCTATTTTCCAGGTCTGGAATTCAAAATTGTTAAATTCCTATGAGAACCAAGAAGACGAATTACAGCCTGATGACGTTATTTCGAGGTCATTACTACTTTAATTCCAACACTTTTGGAATTAATAAACAATTCCACATAATTCCACATGGAATTCATATTAACAATTTTTTTTATCAGTTTTACAGTCCTCTATTTGTTATATATTGTTAAATGTTCTATTTGTTAAATGTTTGGGTAAACCCAACATTTTATTGCTGCCAGCTAATTTACAATGACATTTTAATGCTTTTTTAATAGATCATATTCTTATAGGCTTTTATTATATAGCTACTTTTCCAGGTGTGTAAAATTCCCAGGAGAACCCTGAATCAAGTATCCTGCACGATCAAAATGTTATAATTAATCATAAACAGTCTTACCTGTCGACTGCAATCGCTGTCATGGAGTAAATGCTGGCAAACACAGCGGTCACGGGAAAGAAGTTGTGGAACTTGCAGTAAACCTCTCCAAAGTACCACTCTCCGTGCGTGGCGTAAATGAAGTTGATGAGCGTGTTGAAGGCGGCCATCGAGGCGTCGGAGAACGCCAAGTTGAGCAAGAAATAGTTGGTCACGGTGCGCATCCGTTTATGAGCCAAAATGATCCAAATAACGATGAGGTTACCGAACACAGCGACCGCCAGCACGGAGCTGTACGCGACCGACCAGATCGCGACGCGCCACGGCGGCTGCACGAATTGATTTGTGAAATTACGCGTTACGTTTGAGCCGCTCTGAGGACCAGCCATTATCAACTTACTGTGATATCCTTCTTAAACAGCTAGGATTTGATCTGATACATATATTTATGCTTCTATAGTGTCAAGTATAGATCTGGCACGTCCTCGTGCGCATCCTCCTGCGCTCCATCCAAAGTGTCCAAAATAGCGGTGACGCGCAGTCATGCCTCATATGACAGACATCTGGAGATGCTGCTGCTCCTGCCACATGTTGCTGCTCAAATGAATAGAGAGACATGCAAAAGTGGGATAGTTTCAGTAGATTTTCAATGAAGGACTGAAAAATACTTTATAGTCACCAGCCTTCCTAAATGAACCAAAACAATTTCAATGGGATGGGCTTCTGAACGAAGGCAGTTCGTTTCACTTCAGCATCGAATTTATATAAAATATGAATTTATATGCGTTTACTGCAAATGTGGTGGGGGGGGAAAAAACTTTAAAGCAATTTTCTTTATGAAAAGTTATACTTTTGTTCAATTTATGGTCCTCCTTCATGGATCCATGGTTAAGTGGTCTACCAGTTCTAAATATTTAGAGGGATAGTTCGCCCAAAAATGAAATTCTGTCATCAAAGAAGATATTTAGAAGAATGTTGGCAACCACGCAGTTGACTGACTTCCACAGTATATTTTTGGAAATCAATGGCTACCATTTAACTATATCGCAACTGTTTGGTTACCAACACTCAAGACACAAAAGTAATGACTTTGCAAACACATTTGAAATTTGTAATTCTCTTCATTACTCTTAATTCCCATAATCCTCTTCCATAAATCTTTTTGTAATATATTGGTTTGTGTATTAGAGGATTGCAAATTATTGTAAAGATTAGCAATATTATCACCACAAAATGTTTATTTCACTTTCACAATACACATCTTTTCAAAGCAGCTTTACAGAAAATTATTATTTAATTGTGAAGGAGCCAAATGTGATTATGGCGAAGAAATAAACATCCTAACATGTTTAGGGGGGCGGTGACGGACCTTGATGGAACCAGACTAGGCTGAGGGAGCCCGTCCTTCTCATTACAATACATTTACATACACTCTAAAAAATGCTGGGTTGTTTCAACCCAACTTTGGGTCAAATATGGACTAACCCAACTTTTGGGTTAACAATTTAATGTAAAAATGTAACCCACAAGTTGGGTTAGTCCATATTTGACCCAAAGTTGAGTTGAAACAACCCAGCATTTTTTAAATATAATCTAGTTACAAAATGTCTTATACTACTCAAGCATTAACTGAAGAAATTATGATATTTAAAATGTTAAGTCAGTGTTAAATTTGTAAAGGTAATGATTAATTAGTATGGATAATGACTGATTTATAGTCCTTTGAGGTTCATCTTAATCTGACTGAAAGGATGCAGGCAATGTTGAGTGAAGCGCGTGTCGCTGTCTAGCTGGTATAAACTGTAATTGGCAATAGAGTTGCTTTGTAACGCCTCCCTATATTAATTCACAGTCTTTGAGGTCAATCCTAAAACAGCAAGGCAGTGAAGTGTCAGTAGTTTTGAACTTTTTTTAAAAAGCCTGAACTGCGATCTCTGTTACTTCTTCTCAAATGAACAATCTTCCATGTCTGTGAATGAGTTGTCACAACATTCCATAACGTTTCCCACATCTTTCTCTCTGATCTGACAGATGACGCAAAACAGCTTAGTGTGATGCGCATTTATATTCAGTGCAAGAAGAACATCTTGTCCAGCAACAGCGCAACAATTGAATATAATTGTCAAACTATTTGGTTGTCAAATAGACTTCAAAAACAAAAATTCTGTTATTATTTACTAATATTCACAGCAAGATTAGAGGAATCTTCACATAGCTCATTTCTACACAAAAGCAGGTCTGTCGAGATATACTGTCTATAAAAACACAACAAAAGAACCTTAAAATTAGCTATTGAAAGCCTTGTGTAAGGAACAGATTAAAATGTACAGCTTCAAAACTTTGGATATGTGGATGACTCATATAGAGTACATTTGTGTGTGTGTGTGTGTGTGTTTTAGTTTAAAAGAAACAGATTTCATTCTTGCATATTTTGTGCATACAACTATATGGGTTTATGAGTTATGAGTTAATAATGACATAAATTTAATTTTTGGTGATCTATTGCTTTTAATGGAAAAGTTCACCCAAAAATGAAAATTTGCTGAAAATGTACTCACTCTCAGGCCATCCAAGATGTAGATGAGTTTGTTTCCTCATGGGAAAAGATTTGGAGAAATGTAGCATTACATGACTTGCTCACCAGTGGATCCTCTGCAGTGAATGGGTGCCGTCAGAATGAGAGTCCAAACAGCTGATAAAAACATCACAATAATCCACAAGTAATCCATACAACTCCAGCTTTTCACTTCACAAAACATCAATTGATGGACTGGAGTCGTGTGGATTATTGTGATGTTTTATCAGCTGTTTGGACTCTCATTCTGACGGCACCCATTCACTGCAGATGATCCACTGGTGAGCAAGTGATGTAATCATACATTTCTCCAAATCTGTTTGATAAAGAAACAAACTCATCTACATCTTGGATGGCCTGAGGGTGAGTATATTTTCAGCAAGTTTTCAGTTGGTAAACTATTCCTTTAAATTACTAGCCAAGATAATAATTTAGCCTATACATATGTACACAGCTTCACCAGTAGATGCGCGTGCATGTTTGTGTACATGTGTTTACGCTCATGCCTGTGTTTGTCTGTGTGTGTTCTAACCACAGAAAGGCCATGTTACGCATCTCACCGTGCACCCAGGGTTCAGGTGGTTTGGTACCTTTCATCTTCGACTATTTCAATAATCCTTTGATGCTTCCGCAGATGTTTGAGCTCTCCGGGAAGACGCTGCCCTTTTATGCAGATCTGGCAACCTCCACTAATGCCTGTTGGAGGAGTCTAGCTTTCACACTCTGTCAGTGCCTGGGGAGAAGCTCTTCCAATTAAAAGGGATTAAATTCTGATTGAAGCACACTTAATGAATCAGACCAACAGTTGCTTCCTCTACTTCACAAGGGGAATAATAATGGCACAATGCAAGTGTGTGGCTGTGTAGTGGGGTGAGCTTTTATTTTTATTTTTTTGGCAAGTGGACTCTGATGGGGGAATCACCAATCAACAGGTAAATGTTTAAAATGTGGATTCTCAATTGGTGGGTTGCAATTAGGGCTGCACTGATTAATCAAAATAAAGACTGTGAGCAGCTCATGTTTCAGTGATTTCAGTATCTCAGAGCGGCTCGGCTTGCAGTAAAAGTTGCCCCACACAAACTGATCTCTGCATCCGCTCTGAGTTTGGGGCTCTTATAACATGCATTTGGGAATGCAACAAGTGCCAACCATCTCCCAAACGTATAAACCAGCTGTTGTCAACAAACAAGAAGCTTTAAAGGGACAGTTCACCCAAAATTGAAAAATCTGTCATCATTTACTCACCCTCAAGTTGTTCCAAACCTCTATGAGTTTCTTCTGTTGTGCACAAAAGAAGATATTTTGAAGAATGTTGGGAACCAAACAGTTGACAGTAACTATTGACTTCCATAGTAGTATACTATGGAAGTCAATGGCTACCATCAACTTTTTCGTTACCAACATTCTTTAAAATATCTTCTTTTGTGCTTCGATTTTTCTTCCCCAAATCATGCAGCCCTAGTTGGGATCCAAAAATGTTCCTGATAGGGTCTGGACAACAAGGTAAAAAAAAACAATGTAAATAATAAAATGCAAGTAGTTGTGTTCATCAAAATAGCAAGTAATAGTCAAAGGTTGAGCATAAAAACTTCGATTTTTCTTCCCCAAATCATGCAGCCCTAGTTGGGATCCAAAAATGTTCCTGATAGGGTCTGGACAACAAGGTAAAAAAAACAATGTAAATAATAAAATGCAAGTAGTTGTGTTCATCAAAATAGCAAGTAATAGTCAAAGGTTGAGCATCCAACTAAACTCTACAGTATTTTAGTGCAAATTCATCCGTCACTTGGTAGAAGCTAATCTAAATAATCAGATACCAACTTGGAAAAGTTGTGTGACATGCTTTCATTGTCAAAAACTATGAATTAAGTTACAAGAAAACATACACATTTCTCACTTTTCTCTTCATTTCCTCTTCTGTCATCAGCTATCATCCTGCAGCCAGACCTCCTGAAGAAAACAAAGGTTGCTGAGGGAAGAGGTGTTATTGAGGCCAGCAGGGGTGCTGCTTACTTTACAGACTGCATCGATTTTAATTGATCAGACATTACTATTAAAATGCACTGTCCTTTGCTAAACTGAGATCCACAGGTTGAAGACATACAATGCCAGAGAATGAAGAGAGAAAATTGCCTCATGGTGCTCAGTGAAAAGCTTTAACAAGGCTGCGTGTTTAATGAGATGAACCTTGCGTGTCTCGACTCAAACTCCATCACATGCCACTACCGTCTCTGTCTTCACAGCACTCTTGTTGCTGAAGCTCTCAGCAGGGTCCTACTTCACATGTTTCTTCAGAACAGAGATTGCCTTCTATCTCTGATTACATCCATTGTGCACACAGCTAGTTTAAAGATTGCTTTCTCCAGCTTCAGCAAGAGAAGACCCAGTCCTCAAAAGAACTACCTGATTTCATTCAAGCTCTGTGAAATCTCACATCTTTGATTTCTGGGGTATTTTTAAATCAACTCTAGGTTAGGTTAAATTACTCCTCTCAGTCATACTGAGTGCGATTGCCAGTTTGAGTGGTACTGCTGCTGAGATTGAAAGAGAAAATGGATGGAAAACCCAGACGCCCCTGTGCTCTCATGTGACATTAAGCTGATTGAACAAGAGACTGAATTGCTCTATAATAGGCTATATTATTTTTGGTAATTTCGTAGTTTGAGTCAGTCAACACCCATTTATACCCATTATGTGAGATTATGGGGGAAAACATTCATCATATAAACCAGAGTTGTACCTGAATCTATTGACAATATGAATTTAAAAGTACACGTTTTGATTGCTGCGTGAATTAGGAAAGAACAGGCTACTTTAAGGCATAGTATATGAGAATTCAGATTAACGTCACATGATGTAATTTAATTTCCAGAAGAGGGCAGCAGAGTATGCAAACTGAAATTGCAGTGCGTCTTGAATTGATATTTTAACCATATAAACCAGAAGCCATCATTTTTCACCATCATGTCATTTCAAAGCCATATGCTGTTATTTTACAATCTTAATGCATTGATTCTCCATACAACAACACTTCACATCATGGCCAGTGACGGCTGGTGGTTTTCTAATTAGGGCTGTGCCCATCCAACATATTTAGCAAATATCCCAGGATGATTTAATGCAAAACAGTTAAAGAAAAACGTATTGGTAAGGGGGGAAAAAACAAGACTTGAAACATATTTTGGGACTGAAACATATTTGAAATAAAAAAGAATAGTTTTACCAAGTTCAGGGTTATTATTCTCACACAAAAAAATTTTTTTCCTGCAAGCTTTTTTTCAAGGCAAGTTAAAATACTTTTTAATTGTCATAATTCACCATTTATGTATACAGTGCAACAGCAAAAACATAATTGTTACATCATTCTCAAACTTAATCCCCTGCAGACAGGAACACATAGGGCCCTGAGGCTATAGCAAACCCAAGGGCCCCCCTTCATAGTAGCGTATCTTGGTGCCACAACGTTTTCTACCAGGAATAATTCGGCTTTTTTTAAAATCAAATCTCTTGCACACTAAATATTCCAGGCTACAATACATTAAAAGAATAAATACATTAACACTAGATATGAAGTCAAAGCAAACAGGTTTCCAGAAGCAAAAACAACTTTTGAGCATGCAGCTCCCTTAAGGAGTTTATTTTAAATATTTTATTTATTATTAGAAGGTCTTCTTTCTGGCCCTAGAAGAGGAGAATCATCAGGGCTGGACTGGCGCTAAAATTCAGCCCATCTGGCCCACACAGTCCCCCATAAATGTTTTGCTGGGGTTAGGGCAATTGGAATAAATAAATAATTTACTAATAAATAACGAACGAAAACAAATGATATTTTGGAATACTTAAAATGCATTTAACAATATTAATATTCCATTATATTGCAGGCTCTTAATTATTGAATTCATATTTTTCTGTCAGTAACTGCATGTTAAATAGCCTAGGTGTGGTGCTGTGGATTAAATAGCTTATTTACAGTTTTGTACAGTTTACATCTACACTTTAGTTTACATGGTCGGTCGGTGCTATTCAATCTGGTTTCCGCCAGCTTCACCACAGAGACTTTACTGTTCAAATATAAGTGTCATGTGTGTGTCGAATTCAAATGGGCAAGCGCTGCTTATTATCACTTCAATAGAGCGTCGAAAGTGTCGAGCTACAGTAGTGCCGCTTCATCACTTGGCTTTAATGTTTGTTTCCCATGCGCTTTGGGTTCTCCCTATGGCCAATCAATTCTAGGTCTACTTTTCCTTTCCTCCACAGCCAATCACGTCGGGCCCCCTCAATTCACGGGCCCTGGGGCTTCAGCCCGCCTAGCCCTTATGTTAATCCGGCCCTGCCTGCAGACTAGTCCAGACTTCAGCAGATTTGTGGGCGCTGATTAGTTAAAGGTGCAATAGGTGATTGTCTTCAGAAACATTTTTTTTTTTTTTTATTATTAGCAAACAAGTCAGAATGAAAACAATGTAACATCTCAATTCAACATCATCCAGCCCTCCCTCCCCCCTCCCTCTTCAACCCTGCGGTCTCTTTACAATGGGGAGCACACTGAATACATAATAGGGTTAACAGAAAAAGTCACAGGGATCATGAAACATGAATTTCCGTGAAAAAAAAAAAAACGCCCGCAGCATTCTAAGTCCAAGTCATTGTTCTGTGTAATATATTTGAGCAGGGGAAATCCGTTGAAGTTTACTTCACTTCGGAATTAGGAACCGCTGATGTAACCTGTTGTAGTAATGTTGTCTCTGGTATTCTGGTCTGTGAGCGTAAATGCGTTCAGGGGGCGTGGCTTTGGACGGCGATTGCAGGGAGGGTGGGATGTTCGCTTTCAGTGCTATTAGGCTAAAGTTAGCATTTTCCAAGATCTCCTACTGCACCTTTAAATTTTATGTCATATCTTGAATATGTTTATATCTTCAATCAGCCATTGGCTAAACTGCTACATATGCGCCTCCTGTGAGCAAATTCTCTATCGCCGCAGAGCTGAACTTGACACATGCGGACAACTAGAGGGGACAAATGGGGAAAACATATATTAATAAGCTATAATTTATAATAATAATAAAAGCCCAATAATCATTGTGTTGAGACTATCAACCGTTACATTTTCTCACACAACAGCTAGCTATTCATCTCGCTTCCCCGATTTTCTCTGTCGTTATGTAGAGTCATTATGTTTAGTTATTAATAATAATAAAGTTCTGCAGTCCTCTCAGTTGTCAAGTTTCTCCTCCCCCTTGTTTTTCCTTCCACACACACTCTCTCTTTAGCGCATGTGTGGAGCTTCATGGCCAGTGGAAGTGAGAGCTGCTGTGACATCAGCAGCATCATGTGTGAAAGATGATCCAGTGCTGCTGACTGAGGCAGGCAGAGAAGAACGAGGTAAATCATTGTGTCGTATGTTCTGCATGCCCTGTCACACCTCACCGTATGTGTCCAAAGGTTTCTTATGCCTTGTGCAACTTCACTCAGTAAGACTATTAGAGAGAAAGCATTTGGAAGAAGGAGAGAAACAACATTACAAACAACAGTAGGAGGTTTTCCTTTCACCTTTGTAGCCCTTGCTCTGATATGTTGCATGTTGTGGTAGAATGTGAGACAGCTTGTAAAAATCGTTTAAAAGAACAACAGTATGCAGTTCTGAGTCTGACAGAAAACAGCAAAACTCCCTCTCTAGCAGCAGAGCCTTAAAGGTGACATATCATGAAAATCTGACTTTTCCAGGTTTTAAGTGCTATAATCAGGTCCCCGGTGCATCTACCAACCAAGGAAACGTGAAAAAGATTAACCCAGTAACTTTGTTTTGGGAAGCCTTTTTCTGCAAGCGTCTGAGAAAACGAGCTCGTCTGATTTCGCTCTCCGTGAGTGACGTGGCAAAGGGATCTCATTATAATATTACCGCCCCTTAATCTGTAAGTTTACACCCACAGCGCCTTCATTTTGATTTCGCAAGTGAAAATGGTGTACCAGCTTTAATGCCATGGCGAAAGATTGAGCAAAACATGCTAACTGTTCTGTCTTTGTCTGCACAGACGAGCACAGAACACTAGAGTCCCAGACTCAGAGGAGACAACAGAGCAGAGGATTTATTGATTTATTTACTGTATATTGCTGCTGCCACACAGATCTAAAATAAACATGCGATTTATTTCGCAGCAGTTTACCTTCGCAGACATGACATAGACTGTTTTTGTAACTCGTGTGTTTTTAACGTAAACTTGTGTGTGAATGAGAACTTAGTTTAGTACTCACATGCTGTGACACCTGCTCTCTGTACGTGTGCACTCAGAAACCCGAA